CCAGGTCCTTCATGGTCCTGTGTGACCAGTACCAGGTCCTTCTTTAGTCCTTCATGGTCCTGTGTGACCAGTACCAGGTCCTTCTTTAGTCCTTCATGGTCTTGTGTGACCAGTTCCAGGTCCTTCTTTAGTCTTTCATGGTCCTGTGTGACCAGTACCAGGTCCTTCTTTAGTCCTTCATGGTCCTGTGTGACCAGTTCTAGGTCCTTCTTTAGTCCTTCATGGTCCTGTGTGACCAGTACCAGGTCGTTCTTTAGTCCTTCATGGTCCTGTGTGACCAGTACCAGGTCCTTCTTTAGTCCTTCATGGTCCTGTGTGACCAGTACCAGGTCCTTCTTTAGTCCTTCATGGTCCTGTGTAACCAGTACCAGGTCCTTCTTTAGTCCTTCATGGTCCTGTGTGACCAGTACCAGGTCCTTCTTTAGTCCTTCATGGTCCTGTGTAACCAGTACCAGGTCCTTCTTTAGTCCTTCATGGTCCTGTGTGACCAGTACCAGGTCCTTCTTTAGTCCTTCATGGTCCTGTGTGACCAGTACCAGGTCCTTCTTTAGTCCTTCATGGTCCTGTGTGACCAGTACCAGGTCCTTCTTTAGTCCTTCATGGTCCTGTGTAACCAGTACCAGGTCCTTCTTTAGTCCTTCATGGTCCTGTGTAACCAGTACCAGGTCCTTCTTTAGTCCTTCATGGTCCTGTGTAACCTGTACCAGGTCCTTCTTTAGTCCTTCATGGTCCTGTGTGACCAGTACCAGGTCCTTCTTTAGTCCTTCATGGTCCTGTGTGACCAGTACCAGGTCCTTCTTTAGTCCTTCATGGTACCGTGTGACCAGTACCAGGTCCTTCTTTAGTCCTTCATGGTCCCGTGTGACCAGTACCAGGTCCTTCATGGTCCTGTGTGACCAGTACCAGGTCCTTCTTTAGTCCTTCATGGTCCTGTGTGACCAGTACCAGGTCCTTCTTTAGTCCTTCATGGTCCTGTGTGACCAGTACCATGTCCTTCTTTAGTCCTTCATGGTCCTGTGTGACCAGTTCTAGGTCATTCTTTAGTCGTTCATGGTCCTGTGTGACCAGTACCAGGTCGTTCTTTAGTCCTTCATGGTCCTGTGTGACCAGTACCAGGTCCTTCATGGTCCTGTGTGACCAGTACCAGGTCCTTCTTTAGTCCTTCATGGTCCTGTGTAACCAGTACCAGGTCCTTCTTTAGTCCTTCATGGTCCTGTGTGACCAGTACCAGGTCCTTCTTTAGTCCTTCATGGTCCCGTGTGACCAGTACCAGGTCCTTCATGGTCCTGTGTGACCAGTACCAGGTCCTTCTTTAGTCCTTCATGGTCCTGTGTGACCAGTACCAGGTCCTTCTTTAGTCCTTCATGGTCCTGTGTGACCAGTTCCAGGTCCTTCTTTAGTCCTTCATGGTCCTGTGTGACCAGTACCAGGTCCTTCTTTAGTCCTTCATGGTCTTGTGTGACCAGTACCAGGGCCTTCTTTAGTCCTTCATGGTCCTGTGTGACCAGTACCAGGTCCTTCTTTAGTCCTTCATGGTCCTGTGTGACCAGTACCAGGTCCTTCTTTAGTCCTTCATGGTCCTGTGTGACCAGTTCCAGGTCCTTCTTTAGTCCTTCATGGTCCTGTGTGACCAGTACCAGGTCCTTCTTTAGTCCTTCATGGTCTTGTGTGACCAGTTCCAGGTCCTTCTTTAGTCCTTCATGGTCCTGTGTGACCAGTACCATGTCCTTCTTTAGTCCTTCATGGTCCTGTGTGACCAGTACCAGTACAGTAGGGTGGAGAAATCTAAGAGCTCCTTTGTAAAAGCTGTAATATTAACGACTTATTAAACGAGCGCGAGGTCTGTCCAGAGAAATATCAGACCGAGCTGTGACGAGGTTAATAAATGTTTTATTATGATTATTTTTCATTTGTGCAAATATCGATCGGTTTCAACATTTAACCAAACTGTCAAACTGTGACATGAAGAACTGATCAGACGATGGAGGCGCTGAAAGTTCTCAGTCTGTGTCTTTAAAGCTTTTTACATATTTGTGAAGTATGTTCATGCGACAGTAGCTCAGTTGGTAGAGCATTGGCCTTAAGGCCAGAAGGTCGTGGGTTCAATTCCCACCTCTGCACCTTCTCCACCGACTCCCACTGATGACTGCTGTCGTTGTGTCCTTGGGCAAGACACTTAACCCCAATTTGCCCAAAGCCCCCGCTGAAAGATCAAGGCTATGCTCACACTCAGAGAGCAGCCGTCCTCCTGTGGACTCACCACCTGCAGAGGGTCAGTGAGGGGCTGGTGCTATGAGACTTGGGTGGCATCTCTGACTGCCACCCCCCTGACCCAGAAATGGATTAAAGGGTAGAAAATGGATGGATGGATGAAGTATGTTCATGTCCCACTTGGTTTTCCTGGTCCTGTTTTTACCTTTCTGGTCTGTAACGAAGTTGTCGATCTCTTCTTGACTGTGAGGAGTTGTGTTTTTGTCGTTATTTGCTGTTTTTACTTCCTCTGGCTCTTCCAACTCGTCCTGATGATAGAACTCACTGAGAATGCTCCCATTCGCTAATTATTTCTTTTTTATGGAGGAAAGATATCAAATGTGAAACGCGCTGCGGACCGATTGTCATGGTAACGGTCCGAGATGGGAAAATATCAGACCGCAAATCAGCCAATCAGAGCGCGCGTACGATCCAAGTCAAATACTAATATTTGGTATTTAACAGTAGTTGTATTTAACAGTAGTTGGTATTTAACAGTAGTTATATTTAACAGTAGTTGTATTTAACAGTAGTTATATTTAACAGTAGTTGTATTTAACAGTAGTTATATTTAACAGTAGTTGTATTTAACAGTAGTTATATTTAACAGTAGTTGTATTTAACAGTAGTTTGTATTTAACAGTAGTTGGTATTTAACAGTAGTTATATTTAACAGTAGTTATATTTAACAGTAGTTGTATTTAACAGTAGTTATATTTAACAGTAGTTGTATTTAACAGTAGTTGTATTTAACAGTAGTTATATTTAACAGTAGTTTGTATTTAACAGTAGTGGTATTTAACAGTAGTTATATTTAACAGTAGTTGTATTTAACAGTAGTTTGTATTTAACAGTAGTTGGTATTTAACAGTAGTTATATTTAACAGTAGTTATATTTAACAGTAGTTTGTATTTAACAGTAGTTTGTATTTAACAGTAGTTGGTATTTAACAGTAGTTGGTATTTAACAGTAGTTATATTTAACAGTAGTTTGTATTTAACAGTAGTTGTATTTAACAGTAGTTATATTTAACAGTAGTGGTATTTAACAGTAGTTATATTTAACAGTAGTTGTATTTAACAGTAGTTTGTATTTAACAGTAGTTGGTATTTAACAGTAGTTATATTTAACAGTAGTTATATTTAACAGTAGTTATATTTAACAGTAGTTGGTATTTAACAGTAGTTATATTTAACAGTAGTTATATTTAACAGTAGTTTGTATTTAACAGTAGTTGTATTTAACAGTAGTTATATTTAACAGTAGTTTGTATTTAACAGTAGTTTGTAGACCGTGAGCAGCTGTCGCGGCCTCTGTCCAGGACAGACTGAAGAAAAAGTTATTTTCTCGGATTTTCCTAATAAAGGTTAAATTTAAAAAGTTGTGGTTTATTGCAATGTTTTACTGAAGCCATAAATGTGTGGGACCGACTCGATGACCACAGTTTGATATTATCTTCATGAATAAGTTATGGTTTATTTTCTAAATGTAAACAGACTTAAAACTTGGACCTTAAACCTTCCACAAGGAGACCATAAGGAGACCATAAGGAGACCCTGAGGAGACCGTGAGGAGACCATAAGGAGACCCTGAGGAGACCGTGAGGAGACCGTGAGGAGACCCTGAGGAGACCCTGAGGAGACCGTGAGGAGACCGTGGTGTGTGGCCTCAGTGAAGCCGCAGACACAAATCTCTCTAAATCTAATGATAAAAGTTTGGATCAAAGTCAAGTCACGGGTTTGGATCCGTGAAACATGACAAATCCAAGTTTTTGTCTAAAATCTTCTGATCACAGGCAGAGGCCGCGACGAGTCCTGAGGATCAGAACGAGTCCTGAGGATCAGAACAAACCCGTTTAACTCTGAACAGAAACAAATATTAAATCATTATTATTTACTCTGTGGCTTAAGATCAACTTTTAGCTTTTCACCACGTTGTTAGGAGACCTGGAGATGATTTTAACTTCTGACACAAACATGTCATCTTAAAGCTCCTGTCTTAGTCCTGGGATACTGTGATGTCATTGTACCACTATGACCTCACTATGACCTCACTATGACATCACTATGACGTCAAATTTTTGTTCTTGTAACACATTAGTTTTGTCAAGTTCTGCTTTTCTGTGATACTCCCTCTGCAGTCCCATGGCTGTGTTTACAGCTGGTTATTTTCCAACTAAAGCCACCCTGTACATGATAGCTTGTTAGCTTGTTAGCATGTTAGCATGTTAGCAGCACGAAACCCCGGGACACGGAGACAGAGACCTATGTGGGTATTGCACCTTCTGACATTATGCACAGTGTTATCGCAGTAAAAGTGTTTGAGGAGTCGGAGGTAAACGAACAGACTCTGAACCATGTCTTTATATAACATGGAGAGTTTCCCGACGGTCTCTCTCCTCTGGGAGCCGTGTTACATAAAGCTGGTGCGTCTGGCCTCTTCCGTATTGAACGTATATAAATATGTTATAAATGACAGCCCCCCCAGACCCCCCCCCCCCCCCCCGGCGGAGCTCAGCCCACGCATGTACAGCACACTTAAGTCTGTTATGTAAGGCTCACATTACTCACTGTCCTGCGCTGCCTCCGAACAGCAGCAGTGTTTGCACGTTAGCATACAGCCAGCTAATTACACTCACAGAGGGGTCCGGGTTGGGCGGCAGTGACTCATTCGGACTTTTACAGATGAGATTGTGTGAAGTAAAAACAGTTTCCTTCTAATCTGTGTATAATTGTGGCGTAAGAGACAGATGTGGTTCAACTGGGAGGAGTTAAACAAGCCCCAAGCACAGACTGTAAATAACAAATATAAACCATACTGTATTTGATCAATAATCGAGTTTAAGATTTAAGGTTTATTGGTCTCTGATGGAGAAATGTCCATGTGGCCACACAGATAGAATCACTCAGATTGTTCAAAAGACAGAAGTGTGAAACATGTTAAAGTCTGCAGGATATCATTATGTACAATAAAAGAGTGGCATTAGCAGCAGGTTGTTTTTTAACGAGCTGCGGTCTTGTATTCTGAAGTATATTTATTGTGGATTAGCTAAAATACTGCTGCAGCGCTGGAGTGAGACCCGTAAAAGGAGGGTCTAAGGACAGTGATGAGTTGCCTCTGTATGAACTGTGCTATACAAATAAACTTTCCCTGTTTTTAAGGACATTTATGGACATTTATTAACAGTTATTAACATTTACAGACAGTGGTCTCTGCTCCTTTTTGACCAAAGTCTCTGTGTTTGTTTTCGTTGCATTTCTCGAGTCTGAACTGTCTGATTCTCTGATCTGTGTCGGTGAATCCATAACTACTGTTGTGGTTCAGGGCGATACACAAATAAACTGAGCTGAGGTGAAGTGTGTGTGCCGCAGGAGAAGAACCTGGAGTGGTTCCCGCGGATGAGGGCCATCTCTCTGGTGAGCAGCGAGGCGGAGGGAGAACAGAACGAGATGAGGAGTCTGCAGGAGAAACTCGACAGCACGGTCTCACTGGTGTCTCTGCTGTCCACTCAGCTGGCAGAACTGAAGGAGCAGGTGAGGAGAGGGGGGGGTGAGGAGGGGAGGGGGGGGGGGGGTGAGGGGGGAGGGGGGGGGGGTGAGGAGGGGAGGGGGGTGAGAAGGGAGTGGGGGGGGACTGAGGGGAGACACCAGAGAGAGACACCAGAGAGAGAGAGACACCAGAGAGAGAGAGACACCAGAGAGAGAGAGACACCAGAGAGAGAGAGACACCAGAGAGAGAGACACCAGAGAGAGAGACACCAGAGAGAGAGAGACACCAGAGAGAGAGACACCAGAGAGAGAGACACCAGAGAGAGAGACACCAGAGAGAGAGAGACACCAGAGAGAGAGAGACACCAGAGAGAGAGAGACACCAGAGAGAGAGAGAGAGACACCAGAGAGAGAGACACCAGAGAGAGAGACACCAGAGAGAGAGACACCAGAGAGAGAGACACCAGAGAGAGAGACACCAGAGAGAGAGACACCAGAGAGAGAGACACCAGAGAGAGAGAGACACCAGAGAGAGAGACACCAGAGAGAGAGACACCAGAGAGAGAGACACCAGAGAGAGAGACACCAGAGAGAGAGACACCAGAGAGAGAGACACCAGAGAGAGAGAGACACCAGAGAGAGAGACACCAGAGAGAGAGACACCAGAGAGAGAGACACCAGAGAGAGAGAGACCAGAGAGAGACACCAGAGAGAGAGACACCAGAGAGAGAGACACCAGAGAGAGAGAGACACCAGAGAGAGAGACACCAGAGAGAGAGACACCAGAGAGAGAGACACCAGAGAGAGAGACACCAGAGAGAGAGACACCAGAGAGAGAGACACCAGAGAGAGAGAGACACCAGAGAGAGAGAGACACCAGAGAGAGACACCAGAGAGAGAGAGAGACACCAGAGAGAGAGAGACACCAGAGAGAGAGAGACACCAGAGAGAGAGAGAGACACCAGAGAGAGAGACACCAGAGAGAGAGACACCAGAGAGAGAGACACCAGAGAGAGAGACACCAGAGAGAGAGACACCAGAGAGAGACACCATAGAGAGACACCAGAGAGACACCAGAGAGAGAGACACCAGAGAGAGAGACACCAGAGAGAGAGACACCAGAGAGAGAGACACCAGAGAGAGAGAGACCAGAGAGAGAGAGACACCAGAGAGAGAGAGACACCAGAGAGAGAGAGACACCAGAGAGAGAGAGAGACAACCAGAGAGAGAGAGACACCAGAGAGAGAGAGACACCAGAGAGAGAGAGACACCAGAGAGAGAGACACCAGAGAGAGAGACACCAGAGAGAGAGACACCAGAGAGAGAGACACCAGAGAGAGAGACACCAGAGAGAGACACCATAGAGAGACACCAGAGAGACACCAGAGAGAGAGACACCAGAGAGAGAGACACCAGAGAGAGAGACACCAGAGAGAGAGACACCAGAGAGAGAGACACCAGAGAGAGAGACACCAGAGAGAGAGACACCAGAGAGAGAGACACCAGAGAGAGAGACACCAGAGAGACACCAGAGAGAGAGACACCAGAGAGAGAGACACCAGAGAGAGAGACACCAGAGAGAGAGACACCAGAGAGAGAGACACCAGAGAGAGAGACACCAGAGAGAGAGACACCAGAGAGAGAGACACCAGAGAGAGACCAGAGAGAGACCAGAGAGAGACCGTGAGCCGCTGGGTGTTTTGAATGACTCCACAGTGTAAAACTCATCACCTGCTTCTGCTGCATGTGATCTGGTCATGGGCCTTATTCCTCCTCCAGACACACACACACACACACACACACACACACACACACACACACACACACACACACACACACACACACACACACACACACACACACACACACACACACACACACACAGTGGGTGGTCGCAGTGATCAGAATCCGATTATTTCTCTTGGCAACAGTTCAGTCTTCATCTGTACAGAAGTCTGTGAAGGAGTCAGACACACACACACACACAGTGAAGGAGTCAGTCACACACACACACACACACACAGTGAAGGAGTCAGTCACACACACACACACAGTGAAGGAGTCAGACACACACACACACAGTGAAGGAGTCAGACACACACACACACAGTGAAGGAGTCACACACACACACACAGTGAAGAAGTCAGACACACACACACACACACACACACAGTGAAGAAGTCAGACACACACACACACACACACACACAGTGAAGGAGTCAGACACACACACACACACACACACACACACAGTGAAGGAGTCAGACACACACACACACACATCTATCTGTTGTATAAGAGTCCTCATCAAGTGCTTCTTTCTCCTCACGCCTTTTCCATTCGCTCTGGTTTTCATCTGTCTTTGGTTCATTAGAAAGACAGGAGAGGACTGAGAGAGAGAGACAGGAGAGGATTGAGAGAGACGGGAGAGGACTGAGAGAGAGAGACGGGAGAGGACTGAGAGAGAGAGACAGGAGAGGACTGAGAGAGAGAGACGGGAGAGGACTGAGAGAGAGAGACGGGAGAGGACTGAGAGAGAGAGACAGGAGAGGACTGAGAGAGAGAGACAGGAGAGGACTGAGAGAGAGAGACAGGAGAGGACTGAGAGAGAGAGACGGGAGAGGACTGAGAGAGAGAGACGGGAGAGGACTGAGAGAGAGAGACGGGAGAGGACTGAGAGAGAGAGACAGGAGAGGACTGAGAGAGAGAGACAGGAGAGGACTGAGAGAGAGAGACAGGAGAGGACTGAGAGAGAGAGACGGGAGAGGACTGAGAGAGAGACGGGAGAGGACAGAGAGAGAGACGGGAGAGGACTGAGAGAGACGGGAGAGGACTGAGAGAGAGACAGGAGAGGACTGAGAGAGGGAGACAGGCGAGGATTGAGAGAGAGAGACGGGAGAGGACTGAGAGAGACAGGAGAGGATTGAGAGAGAGAGACGGGAGAGGACTGAGAGAGAGAGACAGGAGAGGACTGAGAGAGAGAGACAGGAGAGGACTGAGAGAGAGAGACAGGAGAGGACTGAGAGAGAGACAGGAGAGGACTGAGAGAGAGACAGGAGAGGACTGAGAGAGAGACGGGAGAGGACTGAGAGAGAGAGACGGGAGAGGACTGAGAGAGAGACAGGAGAGGACTGAGAGAGAGATGGGAGAGGACTGAGAGAGAGAGACGGGAGAGGACAGAGAGAGAGAGACAGGAGAGGACTGAGAGAGAGACGGGAGAGGACAGAGAGAGAGAGACAGGAGAGGACTGAGAGAGAGACAGGAGAGGACTGAGAGAGAGACGGGAGAGGACAGAGAGAGAGACAGGAGAGGACTGAGAGAGAGACGGGAGAGGACAGAGAGAGAGAGACAGAGGACTGAGAGAGAGAGACAGGAGAGGACTGGGAGAGAGAGACAGGAGAGGACTGAGAGAGAGAGACAGAAGAGGACTGAGAGAGAGAGACAGAGAGGACTGAGAGAGAGAGACAGGAGAGGACTGAAGAGAGAGAGAGACAAGAGAGGACTGAGAGAGAGAGACAGGAGAGGACTGAGAGAGAGAGACAAGAGAGGACTGAGAGAGAGAGACAGGAGAGGACTGAGAGAGAGAGACAGGGAGAGGACTGAGAGAGAGAGACGGGAGAGGACTGGAGAGAGAGAGACAGGAGAGGACTGAGAGAGAGAGACAGGAGAGGACTGAGAGAGAGAGACGGGAGAGGACTGAGAGAGAGAGACGGGAGAGGACTGAGAGAGAGAGACAGGAGAGGACTGAGAGAGAGAGACAGGAGAGGACTGAGAGAGAGACGGGAGAGGACTGAGAGAGAGACAGGAGAGGACTGAGAGAGAGAGACAGGAGAGGACTGAGAGAGAGAGACAGGAGAGGACTGAGAGAGAGACGGGAGAGGACAGAGAGACGGGAGAGGACAGAGAGAGAGAGACAGGAGAGGACTGAGAGAGAGAGACGGGAGAGGACTGAGAGAGAGAGACGGGAGAGGACTGAGAGAGAGAGACGGGAGTGCACTGAGAGAGAGAGACGGGAGAGGACTGAGAGAGAGACGGGAGAGGACTGAGAGAGAGAGACGGGAGAGGACTGAGAGAGAGAGAGACGGGAGAGGACTGAGAGAGAGAGACGGGAGAGGACTGAGAGAGAGAGACAGGAGAGGACTGAGAGAGAGAGACGGGAAAGGACAGAGAGAGAGACAGGACAGGACAGAGAGAGAGACGGGAGAGGACTGAGAGAGAGAGACGGGAGAAGACAGAGAGACGGGAGAGGACAGAGAGACGGGAGAGGACAGAGAGACGGGAGAGGACAGAGAGACGGGAGAGTACAGAGAGAGAGACGGGAGAGGACAGAGAGAGAGACGGGAGAGGACAGAGAGAGAGAGACTGAAGAGGACTGAGAGAGAGACGGGAGAGGACTGAGAGAGAGAGACGGGAGAGGACTGAGAGAGAGACGGGAGAGGACTGAGAGAGAGACGGGAGAGGACTGAGAGAGAGACGGGAGAGGACTGAGAGAGAGAGACGGAAGAGGACTGAGAGAGAGACGGGAGAGGACTGAGAGAGAGACGGGAGAGGACTGAGAGAGAGACGGGAGAGGACTGAGAGAGAGAGACAGGAGAGGACTGAGAGAGAGACGGGAGAGAACAGAGAGAGAGAGACAGGAGAGGACTGAGAGACAGGAGAGGACTGAGAGAGAGACGGGAGAGGACTCAGAGAGAGAGAGACAGGAGAGGACTGAGAGAGAGACGGGAGAGGACTGAGAGAGAGACGGGAGAGGACTGAGAGAGAGACGGGAGAGAACAGAGAGAGAGAGACAGGAGAGGACAGAGAGACAGGAGAGGACTGAGAGAGAGAGACAGGAGAGGACAGAGAGAGAGAGAGACAGGAGAGGACTGAGAGAGAGAGACAGGAGAGGACTGAGAGACGGGAGAGGACTGAGAGAGAGAGACAGGAGAGGACAGAGAGACGGGAGAGGACTGGAAACATGTAACTTTTACTAAGACTCGGTTTGGGACGCACATCATGAAGAAAGAAAGTCAGGGACCTCAGCTTTAATCGATTCTTTGTTTTCTTGATCCACAGATGACGGAGCAGAGGAAGAACAAGCAACGTCTGGGTTTCCTGGGGCCGCAGTCCAACCCCCACATCCCGTCCCACTGAGGACCCCCCCTGAGGACCCCCCCTGAGGACCCCCCCTGAGGACCCCCCCCCGAGGACCACGGCTCTCAGCGGGCCATGACAGATCCAAAATGGCGGCCGTCACGGTCCTGTGTGAGACTCTGAGACTTTATGGACTCATTTTAACCATCAGTGCCTTTAGACTGGTAGGACTGGGCTAAAACTGGTATGAAACTGGGCTAAAACTGGTATGAAACTGGTGTGAAACTGGTATGAAACTGGTATGAAACTGGGCTAAAACTGGTATGAAACTGGTATGAAACTGGCATGAAACCGGTTTAAAAGTAGTATGAAACTGATATGAAACCGGTTTAAAAGTGGTATGAAACTGGTTTGAAACCGGTTTAAAAGTGGTATGAAACTGGTATGAAACCTGTTTAAAAGTGGTATGAAACTGGTATGAAACTGGTTTGAAACCGGTTTAAAAGTGGTATGAAACTGGGAATAGTTGAATATGTTGAAAAGTCCATTTACTGTGATTCCACTGAGTGTTTCTTCCATGGTCCCTGTGAGCCTCCATGGTCCCTGTGAGCCTCCATGGTCCCTGTGAGCCTCCATGGTCCCTGTGAGCCTCCATGGTCCCTGTGAGCCTCCATGGTCCCTGTGAGCCTCCATGGTCCCTGTGAGCTTCCATGGTCCCTGTGAGCCTCCATGGTCCCTGTGAGCTTCCATGGTCCCTGTGAGCCTCCATGGTCCCTGTGAGCTTCCATGGTCCCTGTGAGCCTCCATGGTCCCTGTGAGCCTCCATGGTCCCTGTGAGCTTCCATGGTCCCTGTGAGCCTCCATGGTCCCTGTGAGCCTCCATGGTCCCTGTGAGCCTCCATGGCCTGATGTTAGTTTAAACATGTCAGTAGTAATAATACTTAATAATACTTGGGTCCAGTTCTGGTTCAGTCCAAACAGAAACTCAATCTAATCTAATGATAAGAAATCGTTTGGTATAAAAACCTGCAGAATGTAATAAACACATGAAAAATCAGAAGCGGAAAAAAAAGCTTTGAACTGAGATTTATCGTTTCGACTCAAAGTGAAGTCTGTTTTTGTTCTAATGTTGATAAATGTCACGTTTTGACACCGGGCACCCGTCACTTTGTCACGATGTCGCTGCAGGTTTTCACTCCAACCAAGCAGGAGCACAGCAGACTCCTCCCACTCCCTCAGCTCTTCAAATGGGAGGAGTCTGTGTTGGAGTGAAAACCTGTTTGGACCCAGTGTGACGTGTCAAAATCTGGATTATATTGACTTTAGGCCGAAAGTTTTTTTTTGACTATTTTCAGTTTCTCCCGGACGCGTTTATCTCAACTGTAGTTTTTAACTGGAATATTTGTGTTATGAATAATGCTGCCTACGCTCTACGGTACACCTGCGTCGCTGGTCGTGCGGCGGCGGGTTTTCACTTTACATTCTTTAACGATGATGTCACTGCTGCATTTCAGTCTCCTTTGTTTTCCATGTGAAGAAATCACTGCTTTTTACTTGAATTTTTTTTGGTTTTTAGCCCAAATCTCACTTTGTTCGGTTCTGGATCCGTGTTTTTCTTTCTTAAAGTCTTAAATTTTAATATAATACGAACGAGACGTAAATGTTTTAACGGTGTCACGTGTGTTTGTCCTGAGAATGTGTAATAAACAAAGACCACTCCAGCTCTGAAGTCTCCCTTTGATGTTTCTTCTTCATTCATTCTTTTTTTATGATTTATTTGTGGCTTCACTGTTTCAAAACATGAGATACTTTTAGTTTAACTCTTTCTAATAACTCTAATCTCTTTCTGGTCTCTCTCTGGTCTCTCTCTCTGGTCTCTCTCTCTCTGGTCTCTCTCTCTGGTCTCTCTCTAGTCTCTTTCTGGTGTCTCTCTCTGGTCTCTCTCTGGTGTCTCTCTCTGGTCTCTCTCTAGTCTCTTTCTGGTTTCTCTCTCTGGTGTCTCTCTCGGGTCTCTCTGGTCTCTCTCTCTGGTGTCTCTCTGGTCTCTTTCTGGTGTCTCTATGGTGTCTCTCTGGTCTCTTTCTGGTGTCTCTCTCTGGTTTCTCTCTCTGGTGTCTCTCTCGGGTCTCTGGTCTCTCTCTGGTCTCTCTGGTCTCTCTCTGGTGTCTCTCTGGTCTCTTTCTGGTTTCTCTCTCTGGTCTCTCTGGTTTCTCTCTCTGGTGTCTTTCTCGGGTCTCTCTGGTCTCTCTCTGGTCTCTCTCTGGTCTTTCTGGTCTCGCACACACAGACACAGCTGTTGACAGTTTAGTGTCAAGTGTTCAGTAAAAATATCTGGGATGACTGACATGTGACTTCCTGTCTGGCTCCTGCGCTAGATCACATGACCTGAGTCACATGACCTCAAAAGAGACAAATATGGACACGGACTTTAAAAATGAGGAGAATGAGTTTTTCACCTCTGTCTCCTCTGTCCTCCTCTGTCCTCCTCTGTCCTCTGTCCTCTCTGTCCTCCTCTGTCCTCCTCTGTCCTCCTCTGTCTCCTCTGTCCTCTCTGTCCTCCTCTGTCCTCTGTCCTCCTCTGTCCTCAACTGTCCTCCTCTGTCTCCTGTCCTCCTCTGTCTCCTGTCCTCCTCTGTTCTCCTCCGTCTTCTCTGTCTCCTCTGTCCTCCTCTATCTCCTCTGTCCTCCTCTGTCTCCCCTGTTCTCCTCTGTCCTCCTCTGTCTCCTCTGTCCTCCTGTCTCCTCTATCTCCTCTGTCCTCCTCTGTCCTCCTCTGTCTCCTCTGTCCTCCTGTCTCCTCTGTCCTCCTCTGTCTCCTGTCCTCCTCTGTTCTCCTCTGTCCTCCTCTGTCTCCTCTGTCCTCCTCTGTCTCCTCTGTCCTCCTGTCTCCTCTATCTCCTCTGTCTCCTCTGTTCTCCTCTGTCCTCCTCTGTCTCCTCTGTCCTCCTGTCTCCTCTATCTCCTCTGTCCTCCTGTCTCCTCTATCTCCTCTGTCCTCCTCTGTCTCCTCTATCCTCCTCTGTCCTCCTCTATCTCCTCTGTCCTCCTCTGTCTCCTCTGTCCTCCTCTGTCCTGCTCTGTCTCCTCTGTCCTCTGTCCTCCTCTGTCTCCTCTGTCCTGCTCTGTCCTGCTCTGTCTCCTCTGTCCTCCTCTGTCCTCCTCTGTCCTCCTCTGTCTCCTCTATCCTCCTCTGTCCTCCTCTATCTCCTCTGTCCTCCTCTGTCTCCTCTGTCCTCCTCTGTCCTGCTCTGTCTCCTCTGTCCTCTGTCCTCCTCTGTCTCCTCTGTCCTGCTCTGTCCTGCTCTGTCTCCTCTGTCCTCCTCTGTCCTCCTCTGTCCTCCTCTGTCTCCTCTGTCTCCTCTGTCCTCCTCTGTCCTCCTCTGTCCTCCTCTGTCCTCCTCTGTCTCCTCTGTCCTCCTCTGTCCTCCTCTGTCTCCTCTGTCCTCCTCTGTCTCCTCTGTCTCCTCTGTCCTCCTCTGTCTCCTCTGTCTCCTCTGTCCTCCTCTGTCCTCCTCTGTCTCCTCTGTCCTCCTCTGTCTCCTCTGTCTCCTCTGTCCTCCTCCGTCCTCCTCCCTCTGACTGTGGAATAGACTCAAACTTGGAGAAACTTTTTAGACTTTAGACAGATTTTAAAAAACAGAGGAAAAGTTTAAAGTCTGTTTTTACTGAAGTGAATACGTCGCGTCTGAAAACAACAGGAGTCACTGATGGATGTGAAGAAACGAGATAAACTCATAATAATCAACAGAAACACAAATCTGTATCGTGAGGTTTCTACAAAATTCAGCAAAAGTCAAACTTTACATGAAACTTGAATGTACAAACAATCAGACTTCAGCTTTGATCGTGAGAATCCACGACCCTCACCTTTAAACTGTCTCTTGTACATTTGAAATTGAACCAAAAACATGTAAACAGTGAAAAACACACATTTCTATATTTACTCCGTTTCTCTGAATGAAGGCACTGAATGTGACATCACCCAAAGTACTGTGCTGCTCTGATAAGAAGCTAAATCCTCACATGGCAACCGCCTAGCAACCAACGAGCCAATCAGAGTGAGGCCGGTTAGGCTCCGCTCTGAACCTGAATTATTGCTTCATCTTGGTTTAAAAAGACGATGTTTAAAGACCAGAGGAATCTACGACGGAGAGAATGAAAGAGAAGAGAAAATCTGTAACGAAAGCAGCAGCAGTAGCAGCAGCAGCAGTAGCAGCAGCAGCAGTAGCAGCAGCAGCAGTAGCAGGTTATGAACAATAACAGATCAGTTTTACCGGCAACGGATAAAGGGGAAGAGAATGAATGAATGACTCTCTTTAAAAACCAAAAACCAAAAGTGTGCAGTGACAAAGCGCTGGTCAAAAGCTGAAGTCCTTTTTCCACCACCGGCCTCTTGTGTGCATCAGACCTTGCTCCAGGAGGAGCCCTGTGTCCCGGAGAAGAACCCCTGGTACCTGCTCCTCCACATCAGGAACGCTGCAGCGGCGCAGAGCAGAGCCTGCAGCACGTTCAGCAGCAGCTGCAGAAGCTGCATCAGCGGCAGAGTCTCGGTCAGAGACGCACAGTCCTCCACCTCCAGGAACCGGAGCCTGCGGGCGAGAGGGTCCTGAGGGTCCTGAGGCTCCCAGGTACAGATGCACTCAGGGCCCAGACGCTCACACGTGAAGCTGCTGCTCTGACTGTAGTGGTGACCGGAGAACGCCGCGGCGAGAACTGAGACGATCAAACCCACAGAGCAGAAGAAGAAGAACAGAATCTAGAACAGAAGCATCAGAGGCTGAAGAGTTTATACAGAAACGTGCAGCACAGGGACTTATGACAAAGTACATCATTATTAACCCAAAGGGATCTTCAACAGTTTCAAGAAGAATATATGCTCTGTATACCAGGCCAGTCCCTGTGCTCCTCAGAGTCCCAGCAGGAGGCCAGTCCCTGTGCTCCTCAGAGACCCAGCAGGAGGCCAGTCCCTGTGCTCCTCAGAGTCCCAGCAGGAGGCCAGTCCCTGTGCTCCTCAGAGTCCCAGAGGCCAGTCCCTGTGCTCCTCAGAGACCCAGCAGGAGACCAGTCCCTGTGCTCCTCAGAGACCCAGCAGGAGGCCAGTCCCTGTGTTTTTATTGGTGTTGTTTTTATTTTTATTTTTTAAATGCATCGGTTTTATACAGTGCTATTCACGACGCTCAAACTCTCTCTAAACACGGTGGTGATAAACTACTGTGGCCACAGCTGCCCTGGGGCACACTGACAGAAGCGAGGCAACCAGTCTGTGCCATCGGCCCCTCCCACCACCAACCATTCACACACACACCAGACTCATTCTAATGTGGGGGAAGTGTCTTGCCTAAGGACACAAGGACAGCAGACATCAGTGGGAGTTGGTGGTGAAAGTCTTGTCGTGGGCTCGAACCCATGACCTTCTGGCTCAAAGGCCAATGCTCTACAGAGACACTGTCGCCCCAAACTTGAATCTGTGGCTGATGAAACCAGACGTTTCTAAACGTCACAAACTCAGATCTGAGCTTTATTATTAACTCAGAGAAGTATTTACTCTGAGGAGCACAGGGACTGGCCTCCTGCTGGGACTCTGAGGAGCACAGGGACTAGCCTCCTGCTGGGACTCTGAGGAGCACAGGGACTAGCCTCCTGCTGGGACTCTGAGGAGCACAGGGACTGGCCTCCTGCTGGGACTCTGAGGAGCACAGGGACTGGCCTCCTGCTGGGACTCTGAGGAGCACAGGGACTGGCATCCTGCTGGTTTCAGATTCATGCCAAAATCTGGAGCAGTCTTCCTGAAAATGTGAGACAGACTTCTTCTGCAAATCAGGGTTAAAACAGTTGTTTCTGTAACAACTGAAGGATTTTATCTTTAATCTTTTTAATAAACTGATGATGAGTCCAGTGCTGAGTCGTACCTGTGATATACAAATAAACTGTTGTGTTTTTACCTTCATCATGAACTGGAGGAAGCTGCGCTCGTCCGGACGAGACGTGACACAGAACAACACGAGCCCCAGGACCGCAACTGCACACATCTGAGAGAGGAGTCTGCATCAAATATCTGGTCTCTCTCTGGTCTCTTTCTGGTCTTTCTCTCTCTCTGGTCTCTTTCTGGTCTTTCTCTCTCTCTGGTCTTTCTCTCTCTCTGGTCTCTCTCTCTCTGGTCTCTCTCTGGTCTTTCTCTCTCTCTGGTCTTTCTCTCTCTCTGGTCTCTCTCTGGTCTTTCTCTCTCTCTGGTCTCTCTCTCTGGTCTCTCTCTCTGGTCTTTCTCGCTCTCTGGTTTCTCTCTCTCTCTCTGGTCTTTCTCTCTCTCTGGTCTCTCTCTCTGGTTTCTCTCTCTCTCTCTGGTCTTTCTCTCTCTCTGGTCTCTCTCTCTCTGGTTTCTCTATGGTCTTTCTCTCTGGTTTCTCTCTGGTCTCTCTCTCTGGTTTCTCTATGGTCTTTCTCTGGTTTCTCTCTGGTCTTTCTCTCTCTCTGGTCTCTCTCATACAGACCCAGGTTCATGTTTAAACAGCAGAGAAGGAACGGAAGATTTAACTTTAATGATGTGTTTACATGACTCAGCAGAAAACAGCATCTGATTGGATGACAGGGCTCTCTCTCTCTGTCTCTCACCCTGCCTCCCCTCCCTCCCTCCCTCCCTCCTCTCCCCCCTCCCTCCCTCCTCTCCCCCCTCCCTCCCTCCTCTCTCTCCTCCCTCCCTCCTCCCCCCCCCCCCCTCTCTCTCTCTCTCTCCCCCCTCCCTCCCTCCTCCCCCCCCTCCCTCCTCCCTCCTCTCCCCCCCCCTCCCCCCTCCCCTCCCTCTCTCTCCCCCCCCTCCCCCCTCCCTCCCTCCTCTCTCTCCCCCCTCCCTCCCTCCTCCCTCTCCCCCCTCCCTCTCTCCGCGGTCCACAGCGTCTTGTGACTAACGCGCAGTTTCTCATTTAAGTGTTTTTTTCCCCAGTTTTTTGTCTGAAAGGTTCTCGATGACCTCAGTGTTTTTCTCGGATCTCGTGAGCCCAGAACTCGGGATGTTGTTGTTATTCAGCTCCGATCTGACGAAGCTCGTGGTAAAGACACATTAAAGATCTGGGGCCGTATTCCTAAAGATTCTTAGTGCTAAAAGTTGCTCCTAGTGGCATAGACGTCGGAACTAGGGGTGCGGGGGGTGCGGCCGCACCCCCTCCGCGTGTGCCGGGAGCGAGAAGTTATCACTATCCTGCGTTCCTTGCAGCCCAAAACCCGATCCATGCTGTCGGAGGTGCTTATGAAGCTCTGTCTGGCTAATATCTGTCGCAGCCTCTGAGCGCTCTTTCTCAGCCTTGCGCAGATTAGAGACCTGGCTACACCAGTGACGTGCGGTGGGGGATCAATCATGTGTTCATATGATTATACATCATATAAACCAACAGGACCTACAGGAACAGGAGCGGCTTATACACAATTTGTTTGGCTACAGCAGAATATGATTTAATGTCTGCATTGTTTTCTCATACAAAACGCAAACGTTTGTAAAAAGTACAAAGTGTGTTATGGGCCTTACCTTAGGTATTAATGAACAGCACAGACCACTTCAGTTAGGACCAGTTTCATGTTTAAGTCCAGATAATAGTTTGAGCACAGACATGTAATCCTCCATTTGGAAATAAGTTCAATGAGTTTTAAAAAGTAAAATAAACGGGTGTCTCCTCCGTAAACTCCGAGTTTTGCTGCAGCCGACTCCCGGGTAAATCCAATTTCTAAATTCAACCTTACCCTTCACCTCCTTTTCTTATGATTCATATCATCATTGGAAGCAAAACATTACTCTAAGTGCATTTTAAATTATCTTAAAATGTATTATAGGTATGTTAGCCAAACCTGTAGCTGCCCTTAGCAGAAGAAGAACAAGAAAGGAGCTTTCTGATGGAATTGGATGCAGCCAAAGTTTGGGCTCACAAGCGCCCCCTTGAGGCTTTCCTCACTTACAAGCTGTGGTTGAGCGCGATTAAGACCCATATTTGCTTCAAAAACACAATTTATGAGCCATCCTCTTAAATGTAAACATGTTGATTGTAAATTAAATATTTTTGAACTTTTTAAACTGTGATAAACAGAGAAAACAGTTTGATAGCACCTCACAGGACTCTCCCTGTGAGCTGTTGCTTTTTACGTCTCCCAAGAGAGGCTCGCCTCACAGCACCGCTCTGTCAAATCTGCGATTTCAAAGTATAAATAAATGAAATAAGGCACAGCACAAATCACTTGATAAAGTGACCAAACATTATTGTATCCATTTTATTACTTTTCTTTCTATGATCTTAGGTGAGGGCCTTGCCTGCCTCATCTGACCGCCCGTGCGTATTGAAAAAAAAAAAGTTCAGTTTGATAAGTGACTTGCTTGATATATATTGTTTATTTTGTTTTTCTTAACAATTAAGATGGTATGTTTTTATCCAGTGTAATCCAAGTATGAGTCTCTCCCTCGACTCTCCCAACAAAAACCCGCCCCCCCTCTCAGAAAATAGTTCCGACGTCTATGCCTAGTGGCCAAATTCTAAGAATTTTCTTAGAATCTTGACCAACTCTTAGAATTTCCCCTAAAAGTGAGGAGTAGCTTCTAGTTAAGAAAAAAGCTATTCCTAAAGAATCCTAGCTCTTAAGAGTGCTCCTAAGGCGAGATCCCTTAAGAGTTGAGAAGATGACTTTTAGCAACTTAAAAGTTCCCTAAGAGGACAAAATGGTGGACGGTAGAGGCAGGAGAAATATTCTATACACTGGACGACAGTGAATCAGTAAAACGCTGCAGATTGGATCCTGCAGGAATCATGTTTAAAAGTCAATCATGTACAAATATACAGTTTTGTTTTATTAACAGCAATCCAGTTCAAAAAGGAGTGTGAAGAAGTTAATACTTTTAAACTCCCACCCTCTATTTATCATTCTAAATTAACTTAAATAGTGTGGTTGCTACAGCTTAGTTTATTCCATGGTGTATTTACAGTTATGCAACAGTGACATTCACAATAACATGCACTTGATTTGTGTATGTATAAAATGCTTATATTAATATGTTTTCCTTAATTCCTTTTACGTCTTTCAGTATCACAGCCTTTACTAATCCTAATGTTATCATAATCATCTATATATAATCATATATATATAAGTGCTCATGTTATATAGGTTTGTTAAATATGTGTGATAAATTGGTGCTGAGCAAGCTCTAATGATGGGGTGTAAAAGTCAAACTTACAACAGTAAGTTAGACAATATTAGTAAATACATCTGACTTTCTACCTTTTCTGATTATTTACAATGACACAGTATTCCTAAGATTAGATTCTATGATTGAGTTTGTCCATTAGAAGATCCTTATTTTGCCCATTATCAAAAATATGGTTTCTCTAACTTTTAGGATCAACCAATCACAGTGTCTGAAATGATGACTCATACCTAGCAACGGGGTCGGCCACGCCCCCTCACTAAGATAAGAGTTGTTGTCAAGTCCTTGCTCAGAGTTCTCTAAGAGTGTTCTGGAATAACTTTTAAGCTAAGACTCCTAGCTAGGAGTTTTTAGGTTAAGATAGGAGCTCTCTGAGAGGACACTTAGAATCTTTAGGAATACGGCCCCAGGTCCTTAACTTTTGGATCCATCAAAAACAAACAAAGTAAAGTGAAAGTGTTGGGAACAAACCACAACAGGTTTTATCTTATTAAAACATAAACATCGGACCATTATAAAAAGATGTGACAGAGGCCAAACTGTGGCGCCCCCTGCAGGTGAAGCCAGGTCCTGTCAGACCTCCGAAGCTAAGCAGGGCAGGGGCTGGTTAGTACTGTGATGGGAGACCTCTGGGAACAGCAGGTGCCACAGTGGGGCAGCTGCGGCTGTAAAGCGCCAAACTGTGTCCTTAGGCAAGACACTTCCCCCACTTTAGAATGAGTCTGGTGTGTGGGAGGGGCTTCTGTCAATGTGCCCCAGGGCAGCTGTGGCACACTATACAGCCCTGTTTCCATAAGTACTTGGCCCTAATGTATATCCTATCACCCTCCCCACAACAACCAGTAAACCCGGATAAATTCCTTGGTAACCAGGGCTTCCAGCAGCACTGTCAGTTAGACTTCAGTACCAGGTCGGCCTGGATAGAACCAGGACCATGAAGGACTAAAGAAGGACCTAGTGCTGGTTACACAGGACCATGAAGGACTAAAGAAAGACCTGGTGGCACACAGGACCATGAAGGACCATGAAGGACTAAAACGTGCGTCATGCAACAAAGCAACAACTTTTTACGATATTGCGCCAAAAACCCAAAAGTTTCCGCTTGATCCGTGTCTTACAGTGATGCCCGCCCAGTGCGGCGTCTCTCTGGTCGTGAGGGAGGGGGTGAGGGACAGCTGCAGGAAGGCCACGACCGTGACAGCGACCCCTAGCAACAGCTGCAGCAGCGCCAGGATCAGAGGGAAGCGGCACAGACGACGGCCGCCTCTGCGCTCCGGCTCCGGGCTCTCCTCACGCATCTTTAACTTGTCCATGTCCGAGGTCCCTGTGTGCCCCTGGCCCTGTCCCTGTGTGCCCCTGGCTCTGTCCCTGTGATCTCACACACTGTAGACTGGAACTGTGTGGGGCCCCTCCCTCCTCAGGCTGAACTCATGTGGAAAACATTCGGACGATTCCGAAAGATCCGCTTTTAGAGCGAGGGGGGTCCTGCGGACTGAGGGGTACAGCGACACACGACTGGCTCAGCAGCAACAGCAGCTTTAACACAAGACCTCCCAGAGCCGTCATTCTGACTGCTCTTAATGAAATTACCCCCAAAATGTCAAGACCCAGTCCAGACCCAGTCCAGACCCAGTGCAGGACCGGTCTTCTGCCAAAGATGCCAAGTGGAAGTTAAAGATAGAACTCACTTTTAAAAAACAAAATATTATTTTATTGAAACTCAAATAAACCGTAACATTGACTGCGGTTTGAGTTGGAGGTTTTTAAATGATAGAAACTGCTGATTGGACGGTTCTGTGCCAGCGCGAGGCCGTCACGTGACCAGACAGCAGCGCGCCCACGAGGCATGTGAGGGCATCACGCACGCGCCTGGCTCTGCTCCAGGCTCGTGCACAACAGGTGTCAGTTTTACAGAAGTCAACCTCAGGCTCATGGGCCAAATCCGGTCCAAGACAGTTATTAGAGGCCCTAAACAGGATTTATAATGTTATTATGAACTTAGCATCAGTGCTAATGTTCCATGGCATGTTATACATCATCTTTAACCCAACTTCATGAGATGTTCAATACAGAACAATGTGTTTAACTTTGTCCAGTTTGAGATAACTCTAAACCAAAACTTTTAAAACAAATAAATCCTTTATTTTTGTTAAAAAACACGTTTATTGAAACCGTCAGTGAGAGTCACATTAAACACTGGAACAGCCTCTGCTCGGGGAGCGCACGTGTTCGTGCACGCTGCTGTTGTTGCCAAGGTGACTGACAACGCGGAGGTTACGTCTGTCCTCGAGACCCAGGCTGAGCACGCGCCTCATGTTCTGCTCAAGGAAGAGGAGAGTTTATTTGTTTAGCACAGTTTATACAAGATTCACAACAACAACAACAATCAAAGACATAAATCCTCAATAATCAGAGTTTATTCAAAATAATAAAGATAAAATCTTTCAGTTGTTACAGAAACTGAACTGTTTTAATCTGGATTTAAACATAAGAGAAGAAGAAGTCTGTCTCACATTTTCAGGAAAACTATTCCAGATTTTAGCATAAATCTGAAACACTGCCTCCTCATGTTTAGTCCTGACTCTGGGACCAGCAGGAGGCCATGTACCTGTGCTCCTCAGAGTCCCAGTAGGAGGCCAGTCCCTGTACTCCTCAGAGTCCCAGCAGGAGGCCAGTCCCTGTGCTCCTCAGAGTCCCAGCAGGAGGCCAGTCCCTGTACTCCTCAGAGTCCCAGCAGGAGGCCAGTCCCTGTGCTCCTCAGAGTCCCAGTAGGAGGCCAGTCCCTGTACTCCTCAGAGTCCCAGCAGGAGGCCAGTCCCTGTGCTCCTCAGAGTCCCAGCAGGAGGCCAGTCCCTGTGCTCTTCAGAGTCCCAGCAGGAGGCCAGTCCTTGTGCTCTTCAGAGTCCCAGGCCAGTCCCTGTGCTCTTCAGAGTCCCAGCAGGAGGCCAGTCCCTGTGCTCTTCAGAGTCCCAGCAGGAGGCCAGTCCTTGTGCTCTTCAGAGTCCCAGGCCAGTCCCTGTGCTCTTCAGAGTCCCAGCAGGAGGCCAGTCCCTGTGCTCTTCAGAGTCCCAGCAGGAGGCCAGTCCCTGTGCTCCTCAGAGTCCCAGCAGGAGGCCATGTACCTGTGCTCCTCAGAGTCCCAGCAGGAGGCCATGTACCTGTGCTCCTCAGAGTCCCAACAGGAGGCCAGTCCCTGTGCTCCTCAGAGTCCCAGCAGGAGGCCAGTCCCTGTGCTCCTCAGAGTCCCAGCAGGAGGCCAGTCCTTGTGCTCCTCAGAGTCCCAGGCCAGTCCCTGTGCTCTTCAGAGTCCCAGCAGGAGGCCAGTCCCTGTGCTCCTCAGAGTCCCAGCAGGAGGCCATGTACCTGTGCTCCTCAGAGTCCCAGCAGGAGGCCATGTACCTGTGCTCCTCAGAGTCCCAGCAGGAGGCCAGTCCCTGTGCTCCTCAGAGTCCCAGCAGGAGGCCATGTACCTGTGTGCAGATGGACCACGCGGCTCATGTTTATTTCTTTATTCAGTGATGAAATGTTGCTTCATCATCATCACCTGTGGGGGGTCCTGGTGGGTCCTGGTGGGTCCTGGTGGGTCCTTGGGGGTTCTGGTGGGTCCTTGGGGGTTCTGGGGGGTCCTGGGGGGGTTCTGGGGACACTGCTGAACACTGATGAATGGACTTTGTGCTGGTGCCACGTGAGGCTGTTTTGCTTGAGCTGAGACGCGCGTGCGCTCTGACCACAGCGTGAGCGCGTGAGCAGAAGGAGCTCAGGGGGAAGTGGAGACTCAGACCGAGGCACAGACACAGCAGCAGCTTCACCAGCACGGACCGGTACGCACGGAACAGAGCCACGCGACACGAGACCGACACACGGGCGCGATGGACGAGAGACTGTCGCGTTTGCAGGAGCGGCAGTTCCTGGAGCACGCGGAGTTCCTGGGGTGAGTTCGCAGGAGGCAGCCAGCTCCAGCTCCGACCCGGGGCAGACGCAGTGTTTTAACTGATGTTGTGTCTCAGGATGGACCTCCCGTCCCTCTACATGTGCAAGTCCAAGAGAGGGATCAAGAGAGAGGACGGCGGCAAGGTGCGTGAGGGTCCGCGGGGGGTGCGTGTGGTCAGTTTGATGTGACACAGGTACATACATACATAGGTACATACATACATAGGTACATACATACATAGGTACATATATGTACAAAGATAGATAGATAGACAGACACATGAGACGTTACTGATCCCTGTTGGAGAGGTGCAGGTGTCCAGCAGCAGCAGACACAAATGGAATCAAACGAAGACAAATAAAGAGATTATTCAAAAGTAGCAACAATAGAAAGAACATGTGTCGGTGTGTGTTTGATGTGTGTGTGGCAGTGTGTGTGTCTGATGTGGCAGTGTGTGTGTCTGATGTGGCAGTGTGTGTGTCTGGTGTGGCAGTGTGTGTGTCTGATGTGGCGGTGTGTGTGTGTGATGTGCCGGTGTGTGTGTCTGATGTGGCAGTGTGTGTATCTGATGTGGCAGTGTGTGTGTCTGTTGTCAGGACGCGTACAAGTTGCCGCATCGGTTGATAGAGAAGAAGAGACGGGACCGGATCAACGAGTGCATCGGTCAGCTCAAAGACCTGCTGCCGGAGCACCTGAAGCTGTCGGTGAGTGTCACTGTGGAACATGTCACTGTGGAACATGTGTGCTGTTGATAAAGGTCTAACCGGACACGTCCGCAGACGCTGGGGCATCTGGAGAAGGCTGTGGTTCTGGAGCTGACGCTGAAACATTTAAACGCTCTGACCGCAGTCACGGAGCAGCAGCAGCAGAAGATCCTGGCGCTGGAGAACGGTGAGTTTAAGCACTTTAAAGATGTGCATCTGCGTCTGTGCGTAAAGCCTTAAAGCTGAGTCTGACTCTGATCCACAGGAGACCGCTCCATCAGACCTCTGCACGCGGACGTGCACGCGGACTTGAACGCGTTCCAGTCCGGGTTCCAGGCGTGCGCCAAGGAGGTGCTGCAGTTCCTGTCTCAGTCTGAGAACTGGAGCCCGCGGGAGCAGCGCTGTCTGCAGCTCATCACGCACCTTCACAAAGTTCTGGCTCAGCTCCAGGGCGCGCCCCCGCAGCTGCTCCGCGGGGACGCGCACAAAGCCGCGGACTGTCAGAGCAACTGTGTCCCGGTGATCCAGAGAACGCAGGAACTGAGCGAGAACGACACCGACACCGACAGCGGCTACGGCGGGGAGGCGGAGAAGAGCGAGGGGACGGAGAGTAACCGAGCCCCCAGAGGCGTGAAGAGCGAGGGGGCAGAGGAGGACCGAGCCCCCAGAGCCCCCAGAGCCATGAAGATCAAACAGGAGTTCGGAGAAGAGCGCGCACCGAAGAGGGCAAAGGTCAGCTGGCCCGGGAGCCTGCTGGGCGCCGGGGACAGACCAGAACTGTCGCTAATGAACTCTTTGATGGGACTAACGACGCTGGGACAGCAGCCCATCTGTATGCCCTTCTACTTCATCAACCCGTCCTCCTACCTGCCGTTCCTCGACAAGAGCTCGTACCCCGCGGCGCTGGCGTCTCCATTCCCATGGATCTACCCCGGTCTGGGCGCGCAGCTGGCGGCGCAGAGCTCAGACTCCGCGGACAGTGACGGGTCACCGGGGGCCGCGTCTCCAGGGGCCGCCTCACCAGGGGCCGCCTCACCGGGGGCCGCCTCACCGGGGAGCGCGTCACCAGGGGCCGCCTCACCGGGGGCAGCCTCACCGGGGGCCGCAACACCGCAGCACAGTCCCAGGAGCGAGAGTCCAGTGACGTCAGAGAAAAGCTCTTGTCAAACAGACTGAAGTGTTTGAACTTTGTGAATGAAACTCGACAGTGATTGACTTCGTCCCTCTTCGATCTCATTTGATCTTCTTTGATCCTCTTTGATCTTCTTCGATCTCCTTTGATCTTCTTTGATAAGACGTTTTCAAAGCGGCAGCAGTTTGGTGCCAAATCTTTGCATCGGCGCAGATTGAGTTTGGCTTTTTGGATGTAGAGCAAACTGACCTCTTTTGTACATATTATCTTCATCAAATGTAATGTGCACTAAACTAAACGGGCCTCGGAGCTGCCCCTGTTACCTCATGGAGAGTTAGAGATACTTAGAGATATGTTAGAGTTAGGGCAACATCTGCACAAAGATACCAGATGGTATTTGTTTCTCTCTGAGAGTAAACAATCAGAGCAGGAGCCCTAAGGACATAGCACTTTCTGAACCTTTGATACTGAATGTAACTGTTTGTACAAAATGATCAGGAGAAAGTGCACTTCTGCTTCGAGGTCGTTAGGACGTCACATGACGTCACGCCGTCACATGACGTCACGTGACGTCACGCCGTCACATGAATCCTGGAGGACTAAGGACTAGGGGTGTCACGGTATGAAAATGTAACCTCGCGGTTGTTGCGACCAAAATTATCACGGTTTCCGGTTTTATTGCGGTATTTAAATTCAGTGAATATGTTCAGAAAGCATTGATAGTTCTACACAAACTAAAATAGTTTCATAAAAGTGGACAAACATTTGCTACAATTAACATTTGGTTTAAAACATTACAAACAGTAAATGTCACTAAACAAACATGATATTATTGTGTCTTCAACTAGTGCTCAATAATGCCATGTCACGGTCTCATCTGTTACTGTTTACCTGTGTAGCTCAGCATATTAGCAGCTAACAAGCAGCTACACACAACAGCTAGCTGCAGCGTTGACATTAATGACAGACGGAAAACCAGACAAATTGTTGCATTCTCTCTCAACCCAAAGTCTCTCGCATCATCTGTTTCAACTGAAACGCTAACGTTATCTTACCAAGCATTGGCTATAGAGTTAGCATTGGCTAATGCTAAATAGAGTTAGCATTGGCTGTAGAGTTAGCGTTGGCTATAGACTTAGCATTGGCTATAGAGTTGACTTAAGCAGCGTCTTTATTTAAATTACCGTGACACCAGAGACTGCGACACCAGAGACCGCAACACCAGAGACCGCGACACCAGAGACCGCGACACCAGAGACTAAAGGACCATCAACACAGCCTGACTGCGCTCCGGCCGAGGCCCCAGACGGAGGTTTTCTACTTTAATCTTTGAGTGTAGCTTGTTCGCGGCTAAAGAACCATCTGCACATGATCAGCTTTTGTACTTTCTCAGACTTTGTGAATAGAAACGTCTGTCGTTGTCGTAGAAGTTTATGGTTTTTTAAACTGAGCAACTGTTGCACATTTCGTTAACGCTTTACACATTTGCTGTAATAAATTATTGCTCATGAAAATAAATATAAAAACACTCGTTTCTCTCTCGGTTCTTGTTCCAGAGTCAGCTGACCTCCAGGAATGTACTGGGACTAAGGAGGTTACTGTCAGACCAGGAGCACAGGGACCAGGAGCACAGGGACCAGGAGCACAGGGACCAGGTGGATCTTCCGGGATTCTATCGTAATTTTATGAAGATATTTATTAAAGACAACAGACACACATCAACATTCAACAAGAACTGAACATAAAACAAAGACAATGTATAGAGACTAATGAAGAGGAAGGGTCTAAGGGGAGGGGTCTAAGGAGGAAGGGTCTAAGGAGGAAGAGTCTAAGGAGAAGGGGTCTAAGGAGGAAGGGTCTAAGGAGAAGGGGTCTAAGGAGGAAGGGTCTAAGGAGAAGGGGTCTAAGGAGGAAGGGTCTAAGGAGAAGGGGTCTAAGGAGGAAGGGTCTAAGGAGGAAGGGTCTAAGGCAGAGGGGTCTAAGGAGGAAGGGTCTAAGGAGAAGGGGTCTAAGGAGGAAGGGTCTAAGGAGGAAGGGTCTAAGGCAGAGGGGTCTAAGGAGGAAGGGTCTAAGGAGGAGGGGTCTAAGGAGGAAGGGTCTAAGGAGGGTCTCCTTCCAGTCTCCTCCTGGTCTCCTCCTGGTCTCCTCCTGGTCTCCTTCCAGTCTCCTCCTGGTCTCCTCCTGGTCTCCTCCTGGTCTCCTCCTGGTCTCCTCCTGGTCTCCTCCTGGTGGGACATGCTGAGAACAGGAGCCCTCCCAAATAGATGCCTCAGAGTCGCCTCAAACCAAAGCCAGACCCTGTCAAACCTTTGAAGCTAAGCAGAGCAGGTCCTGGTTAGTACTGTGAGGGGAGACCTCTGGGAACACAGTGGGGCCAAACTGTGGTTGTGTCCTTAGGCAAGACACTTCCCCCACATTAGAATGAGTCTGGTGTGTGTGTGATGGGTGGTGGGAGGGGCTAATGGCACAGACTGGTTGCCTCACTTCTCTCAGTGTGCCCCAGGGCAGCTGTGGCTACAGTAGCAGTTTATAACCACTGAGTTTGGATTGAAAGAATAATGATGCAAAGAGACTTTGAGTCTAGATAAGAACTGTATTATTATTATTATTATTATTATTATTAAATCAGACTTCGTAAAGCAGCTCATATTTGACACATGTCAAATATGAGCGACAGTGGCTCAGTTGGGTCAAAAAAAAACAAAACCTAAAGGTCGTGGGTTCGATCCCACCATGAGACCTACTTCACGACTCCCACTGATGACTGCTGTCGTTGTGTCCTTGGGCAGAACACTTAACCCCACTTTGCCTGAAGCCCCCACTGAAAGATCTCAGCAGCTGCAGGAGGATCAGGGAGGGGCTGGTGCTCTGTGAACTGGGTGTAACTCTGACTGCCACCCCCCGACCCAGAAATGGATTAAGGGGAAGAAAATGGATGGATGGATGAAGAAAGAAACCTCCAGTGAAGGAACAAACACTGAGAAATAGATAATATTGGAACCATAATTTAGGGTTAGCGTCATTAAAGCTGCGGTACCTAATTTTGATAACACAGCAAATGTAATTTTGTAATAAACAGTTTGATTCTGTTTTCATATATTTCACATCAATGTTTTTAGATCAACAGCAAGATTCTAAAACAAGTCACTTCATGAAACCACAACTTTAATAAACATGAGAATGAAAGGACTTTAGACATAAATAATAAAACCAGCGCATGTGACTAAGCACTGGACACGGATTTATTGAGGGTTTGGCTCCATCTAGCGGCGAGCTGACGTCACCACAGTCATAGATGAACAAAAAACATTTCTCAGCATTTTTTGTTCATAAACTTTATTATTTCATGCAGTCCTCGTCACGGAGCATCACACGATCTCATTAAGGCAAGTTCAAGCCGGACATTATCAGCATTCTGTAAACCACAAACAAGAAGTGCACCTTTTACTACGTCACTACCATGGGTCACTACCATGGGTCTCACTACCATGGGTCACTACCATGGGTCTCACTACCATGGATCACTACCATGAGTCACTACCATGGGGGAGTCACTACCATGGGTCACTACAGGTTTAAGTCTTTATGTTTCTGTCCTGGTTCTGAGTTCTAAATGTGCAGAACTAAACTCTGTAACTTTCTGCTGCTGCTTGTTTTTTTATAGAATATTCTAAAAGAAACAGAAACATTTTTCCTTCTCAGAGTCACAGGTCAGATCTGTGCAGAGGCCACTTCATGTTTTAACCATAGACTGTATATATTAATGGACAGAGTCACGCCTATCTCCGCCGTTCTAACTAATGGACCAAAAAATGTGCTCTACTGGAGCAATCCAAAATGGCCGCGAGTGGTCCCGCCCACAAGAAAATTGTGAAAAAACGCATCTGTGCATGCGTCAACCGGAGCAACTCCATTCATTTGAACGAGACTTAAAAAATTCACAGCGACTAAACTAGAGTGGACCAAAACACCCCCTCAGCATTGACACACATGTGGAACGGAGCTGCCAATGCTATATGTTAGCATTGGCTAATTCTACTTCTGGGTCCACCCCCACAGGCCCGGGGTGGTACTGCAGCATGTCAGCGCACGTCATTTTGAGCTGGGACCCGCCCCCACTGGTTTAAACAGGGTTTTAATGTTTTTAGGTTTACTCAAATAAATACATAAATGTGATACACTGTAAAAACACGCTGTTTGTGCTTGAAACATTTTAAGACACGATTGAAACTAGACTTGCACCAGGTGAGACTTGCAGCCCCGCACCAGGGGATTTCTTGCTACAAACGCAGCAGGAACGTCCAGACAGTTCCATAGTCTATTTCCAAAAGCATTTAAAAGGTATAAAGGAGGATTTTCCCAGATTTTAGGAAAGAACCGCCCTCTCCAGTTTTTGAAAAAATCTCTCTGCTCTTATTGGACAAGTTTCACCAGGATGATTGACAGTTGGGAGGACCAATGGGCTATATGCACGGGGAGGTGTGACGTCATTTCCTGTTAACGCAGAACAGCCCGTTCACTTCCTGCCTATGCTATTCTATGGCATTTAGGTGAGTTTTAGTGACGTTTTTTAGTAATTAGATCGATACAATCAGCTGAGACTGACCCAAAAGTGTCGCTGTGCTTTCTCTCTGAGGTAGAGCTGTGACTGTGGCCACTCAGAGCGATTTTTAAACTTTATAAAAACACAATGACAGCACAATCAAAGAGCACTGCTGTGTCCCAAAAATGCCCAGTATCCTCACAGTTTAATTCCCGTTTGAGCATTATTTGGGAAACTTGTGTAAACCACTGCTGAACTCCAGTGAAACTCAAGCCGTTTCCCGCGAACAGGAAGTGAAGTGGGGTTGTAGCTAAAACGCGGAAGTGCAGCGTGCATAGAGCCCATAGTCTTGATGATCCACCCGGAAGTAGAAAATCCTCCTCTAAACCTTTAATGAGGTCGGAACAAAACAGGATCATTCTCATCACTTCCTAGAGACCTTTTTCACAGACGTTTTGATGTTGCATTCTTCTTCTTCTCTCTCCGTCTATCGTAGCGACTTTCCGATATATTTCACTGTGAAAACCTGCCTCAGTCCAAAACACGTAAATGTTTTACTTTCATCTGAAGTAAAAAAGAACTGACCCCAGAACAGATTCAGATTCTAGCCACAGTCACTGACATCTGTGTGTGCTAATGAGGCTGCTAGCTAACCCCAAACACGCTAATGAGGCTGCTAGCTAACCTCACATACACTAACAAGGCTGCTAGCTAACCTCACATACACTAAACGGGCTGCTAGCTAACCCCAAACACGCTAACGAGGCTGCTAGTTAACCTCACATACACTAAACAGGCTGCTAGCTAACCTCACATACACTAAACAGGCTGCTAGCTAACCTCACATATGCTAACGAGGCTGCTAGCTAACCTCACATATGCTAACGAGGCTGCTAGCTAACCTCACATACACTAACAAGGCTGCTAGCTAACCTCACATATGCTAACGAGGCTGCTAGCTTAAACCACATACACTAAAGCCAAACTGCATCTGATTTTGACAGGTTTAAGGCACTTTGAATGTTTAGCAGCTCTATACCGACAGTTCGTTGCAGACTATTGTCCCAAAGGATGGTCCAGGATTTTATTATTATTTTAGAGAAATAAAAGATAAAACACAATCTCCTGCTTCTTTGTTTGCATTGAATTGAACTGAATTATAAATGACTTAAAACTACAAATGTATACATTTTGTTTTTGTTGGTCTCAAAATCACTCAGAACATCCATGTTTTGTCTGTTTGGTTCAGTTATCGACTTATCTATCGACAAACTGATATTTATATTTTTGTGAAAATCCTGGACCATCGATTTAGCTGCTAACTTGCTAACCGCTAACGTGTACATGCTAACCGCTAACGTGTACATGCTAACTGCTAACGACGAATAATGAGGCTTTGAAAGTGGTTCAACGCTTAACTACGGCTGCGTCAACAAAACAACCTCTGGTCCTGTGCAGAAGAGAGACCAGAGAGAGACCAGAGAGAGAGACCAGAGAGAGAGACCAGAGAGAGACCAGAGAGAGAGACCAGAGAGAGACCAGAGAGAGACCAGAGAGACCAGAGAGAGACCAGAGAGAGAGAGACCAGAGAGAGAGACCAGAGAGAGAGACCAGAGAGAGAGACCAGAGAGAGAGAGACCAGAGAGAGAGAGACCAGAGAGAGAGAGACCAGAGAGAGAGAGACCAGAGAGAGAGACCAGAGAGAGACCAGAGAGAGAGAGACCAGAGAGAGAGAGACCAGAGAGAGAGAGACCAGAGAGAGAGACCAGAGAGAGAGACCAGAGAGAGACCAGAGAGAGTGACCAGAGAGAGAGACCAGAGAGAGAGAGACCAGAGAGAGAGACCAGAGAGAGAGAGAGAGAGAGACCAGCGACAGACCAGAGAGAGAGAGACCGGCGACAGACCAGAGAGAGAGAGCAGAGGGACCAGCGAGAGAGACTAGAGAGAGACCAGAGAGAGACCAGCGAGAGTGACCAGAGAGAGAGAGAGACCAGAGAGAGAGCAGAGAGAGAGACCAGCGAAAGACCAGAGAGAGAGACCAGAGACCAAAGAGAGACCAGAGAGAGAGACCAGAGAGAGAGAGAGAGACCAGAGAGAGATCAGAGAGAGAGACCAGAGAGAGACCAGAGAGAGACCAGAGAGAGACCAGAGAGAGAGACCAGCGAGAGACCAGAGAGAGAGACCAGAGAGAGACCAGAGAGAGAGACCAGAGAGAGACCAGAGAGAGAGACCAGAGAGAGACCAGAGAGAGACCAGAGAGAGAGACCAGAGAGAGACCAGAGCGAGGAAACCATTGGCAAGAATATACCATGTGTCATATCAACGCGGAGGGAATGTGTTTTTACTGCTTTTCCCTGGAATCACAAATGCACCACTTGGTAATAAAATAGAATATCCTTAAAATAAAGCTTGGAATAAGAAAAGTTATTTACAAAATGCCATAAATGAGACATTCGACAGGAGCCTGTGCATAGTTTACATGAGCAGAATAATAATAATAATAATTCTACAATATGCTAAAAACTTCATAAACATCAGCGGATCCTTCGTCCTCAGGTCACGATGCATTCGCTAAATACTTCATAGATTCACAAACAATAACAGTTTAAAAAAGGCAAAGTTCTATAATGCTGCAAAGTCAAAAGTCATTCTGGTGCAATACGTGAAAGACATGTTATTGTGTTGATAAAGATACAATATATAGTGTTCAAACCTGGGACTCACTCAGACCAGAGAGAGACCAGAGAGAGACCAGAGAGAGACCAGAGAGAGACCAGAGAGAGACTAGAGAGAGAGCAGAGAGAGACCAGAGAGAGACTAGAGAGAGAGCAGAGAGAGACCAGAGAGAGACCAGAGAGAGACCAGAGAGAGAGACCAGAGAGAGACCAGAGAGAGACCAGAGAGAGACCAGAGAGAGACCAGAGAGGGACCAGAGAGAGACCAGAGAGAGACCAGAGAGAGGGACCAGAGAGAGAGACCAGAGAGAGACCAGAGAGACCAGGGAGAGACCAGAGAGAGACCAGAGAGAGACCAGAGAGAGACCAGAGAGAGACCAGAGAGAGAGACCAGAGAGAGAGACCAGAGAGAGACCAGAGAGACCAGGGAGAGACCAGAGAGAGATCAGAGAGAGACCAGAGAGAGACCAGAGAGAGACCAGAGAGAGACCAGAGAGGGACCAGAGTGAGACCAGAGAGAGAGACCCGAGAGAGACCCGAGAGAGACCAGAGAGAGAGACCCGAGAGAGACCAGAGAGAGACCCGAGAGAGACCCGAGAGAGAGACCAGAGAGAGAGACCAGAGAGAGACCAGAGAGAGACCAGCGAGAGAGACCAGAGAGAGAGACCAGGGAGAGACCAGAGAGAGACCAGAGAGAGACCAGAGAGAGAGACCAGGGAGAGACCAGAGAGAGACCAGAGAGAGAGACCAGAGAGAGAAACCAGAGAGAGACCAGAGAGAGACCAGAGAGGGAGACCAGAGAGAGACCAGAGAGAGAGACCAGAGAGAGAGACCAGAGAGAGAGACCAGAGAGATAGACCAAAGGGAGACCAGAGAGAGAGACCAAAGGGAGACCAGAGAGAGAGACCAAAGGGAGACCAGAGAGAGAGACCAGAGAGAGACCAGAGAGAGAGACCAGAGAGAGACCAGAGAGAGACCAGAGAGAGACCAGAGAGAGAGACCAGAGAGATAGACCAGAGGGAGACCAGAGAGAGACCAGAGAGAGATGTAGAATCTGGTTTTAAGGCTCAGTCACAATGGCCCTCATTTATGAAACTTGCGTGTGGCCAAATCAGGGTAAATGAGGCGTACGCAAACAATTTACACTTTTCGGCTTTTATCAATCTGGACGTGAGTGTACGGTACGCACAAAAAGAGTCTGGAGGCGGTGTAGATTTTAAACCCATCTCAACCTTCATCACAACACGCCAAAACACGCATGATATTCAAGATTTAGACAACATTAAACAGGTGGACTGTGCCGACTTCCTGCTGAGCTGTCGTAAAAACAGGACGTGAAACAGGAGCGTTCTGAATATTTATAGACGTATAGAGAGAGAGACCAGAGAGACCAGGGAGAGACCAGGAAGAGACCAGAGAGAGAGACCAGAGAGAGAGACCAGGAAGAGACCAGAGAGAGAGACCAGAGAGAGAGACCAGAGAGAGACCAGAGAGACCAGGGAGAGACCAGAGAGAGAGACCAGAGAGAGAGACCAGGAAGAGACCAGAGAGAGAGACCAGAGAGAGACCAGAGAGACCAGGGAGAGACCAGAGAGAGAGACCAGAGAGAGACCAGAGAGAGAGACCAGAGAGAGAGACCAGAGAGAGAGACCAGAGAGAGACCAGAGAGAGACCAGAGAGAGACCAGGGAGAGACCAGGAAGAGACCAGAGAGACCAGAGAGAGACCAGAGAGAGAGACCAGAGAGAGACCAGAGAGAGAGACCAGAGAGAAACCAGAGAGAGACCAGAGAGAGAGACCAGAGAGAGAGACCAGAGAGAAACCAGAGAGAGACCAGGGAGAGACCAGGAAGAGACCAGAGAGACCAGGGAGAGACCAGAGAGAGACCAGAGAGAAACCAGAGAGAAACCAGAGAGAAACCAGAGAGAGACCAGAGAGAGACCAGAGAGAGACCAGAGAGAGAGACCAGAGAGAGACCAGACAGCGAGACCGGCGACAGACCAGAGAGAGAGAGACCAGCGACAGACCAGAGGGAGACCAACGAGAGTGACCAGAAAGACCAGAGAGAGAGACCAGAGAGAGACGCTGGATACGCTGGTTTTGAACTCGGGCTCGGTTCTGGGCGGATCTCACACGTTCATAAATCCCACGTTGGATTTTGCGTATTTGGAATATACACCAACACTGTTTCATAAACGAGGACCAATGTGCTCAGATTAAGATACATTTTTTGCAGTGGAACCCTCTCCCGTCTCTAAACCGGTCTTAACCTTAGACCCAGGACTAAATTCTAAGATCGGAGCGAGTCCCGTCCAAACAAATGCACCTTTTATCAAATACTGCAGTAAAGTGGAAGCGATCAGGCACAATACACAGAACCACATGTTTCCCAGACCCTCACACTGTGTCATGCTAAAGCTAGAGATGTTATGCTAGCTTCTTTATTATGCTAAAGCTAGAGATGTTATGCTAGCTTCTTTATTATGCTAAAGCTAGAGATGTTATGCTAGCTTCTTTATTATGCTAAAGCTAGAGATGTTATGCTAGCTTCTTTATTATGCTAAAGCTAGAGACGTTATGCTAGCTTCTTTATTATGCTAAAGCTAGAGATGTTATGCTAGCTTCTTTATTATGCTAAAGCTAGAGATGTTATGCTAGCTTCTTTATTATGCTAAAGCTAGAGATGTTATGCTAGCTTCTTTATTATGCTAAAGCTAGAGATGTTATGCTAGCTTCTTTATTATGCTAAAGCCAGAGAGTGTCTCCGTGGTAACGCCTGATCGCTTCCATCCGTGTTCTCCCAAAGTGTTTCAGGTCCTGATAGTTGACGCACGGATCAGTGCATAGTAATCGTGAGGTTTCCTGGTCTCCTGTACCATCACTGCTAAAGTTCTGCTTCTGGTTTTTGGTTGATCTGGTGCTGGTCACACGTAGATGCCCTCAGGGTTCAGGCCCGAGGAGAGAGGGCTCTGAAGCACTCGCAGGTGACCGGGGGAAGGGCGCTTCAGGGAGCCGCCGAGAGGGACCAGGTCTGCAAGGACAAGGAGAGAGTGAGGACCAGGTGAGCATGGACAAGGAGAGAGAGTGAGGACCAGGTGAGCAAGGACAAGGAGAGAGTGAGGACCAGGTGAGCAAGGACAAGGAGAGAGTGAGGACCAGGTGAGCAAGGACAAGGAGAGAGTGAGGACCAGGTGAGCAAGGACAAGGAGAGAGAGTGAGGACCAGGTGAGCAAGGACAAGGAGAGAGTGAGGACCAGGTGAGCAAGGACAAGGAGAGAGTGAGGACCAGGTGAGCAAGGACAAGGAGAGAGTGAGGACCAGGTGAGCAAGGACAAGGAGTGAGAGTGAGGACCAGGTGAGCAAGGACAAGGAGTGAGAGTGAGGACCAGGTGAGCAAGGACAAGGAGAGAGTGAGGACCAGGTGAGCAAGGACAAGGAGAGAGTGAGGACCAGGTGAGCAAGGACAAGGAGAGAGTGAGGACCAGGTGAGCAAGGACAAGGAGAGAGTGAGGACCAGGTGAGCAAGGACAAGGAGAGAGAGTGAGGACCAGGTGAGCAAGGACAAGGAGAGAGTGAGGACCAGGTGAGCAAGGACAAGGAGAGAGTGAGGACCAGGTGAGCAAGGACAAGGAGAGAGAGTGAGGACCAGGTGAGCAAGAACAAGGAGAGAGTGAGGACCAGGTCTGCAAGGACAAGGAGAGAGTGAGGACCAGGTGAGCAAGGACAAGGAGAGAGAGTGAGGACCAGGTGAGCAAGAACAAGGAGAGAGTGAGGACCAGGTCTGCAAGGACAAGGAGAGAGTGAGGACCAGGTGAGCAAGGACAAGGAGAGAGTGAGGACCAGGTGAGCAAGGACAAGGAGAGAGTGAGGACCAGGTGAGCAAGGACAAGGAGAGAGTGAGGACCAGGTGAGCAAGGACAAGGAGAGAGTGAGGACCAGGTGAGCAAGGACAAGGAGAGAGAGTGAGGACCAGGTGAGCAAGAACAAGGAGAGAGTGAGGACCAGGTCTGCAAGGACAAGGAGAGAGTGAGGACCAGGTGAGCAAGGACAAGGAGAGAGAGTGAGGACCAGGTGAGCAAGAACAAGGAGAGAGTGAGGACCAGGTCTGCAAGGACAAGGAGAGAGTGAGGACCAGGTGAGCAAGGACAAGGAGAGAGTGAGGACCAGGTGAGCAAGGACAAGGAGAGAGTGAGGACCAGGTGAGCAAGGACAAGGAGAGAGAGTGAGGACCAGGTGAGCAAGGACAAGGAGAGAGAGTAAGGACCAGGTGAGCAAGGACAAGGAGAGAGAGTGAGGACCAGGTGAGCAAGGACAAGGAGAGAGTGAGGACCAGGTGAGCAAGGACAAGGAGAGAGTGAGGACCAGGTGAGCAAGGACAAGGAGAGAGTGAGGACCAGGTGAGCAAGGACAAGGAGAGAGTGAGGACCAGGTGAGCAAGGACAAGGAGTGAGAGTGAGGACCAGGTGAGAAAGGACAAGGAGAGAGAGTGAGGACCAGGTGAGCAAGGACAAGGAGAGAGAGTGAGGACCAGGTGAGCAAGGACAAGGAGAGAGAGTGAGGACCAGGTGAGCAAGGACAAGGAGAGAGAGTGAGGACCAGGTCTGCAAGGACAAGGAGAGAGAGTGAGGACCAGGTGAGCAAGGACAAGGAGAGAGTGAGGACCAGGTGAGCAAGGACAAGGAGAGAGTGAGGACCAGGTGAGCAAGGACAAGGAGAGAGAGTGAGGACCAGGTGAGCAAGGACAAGGAGAGAGAGTGAGGACCAGGTGAGCAAGGACAAGGAGAGAGTGAGGACCAGGTGAGCAAGGACAAGGAGAGAGAGTGAGGACCAGGTGAGCAAGGACAAGGAGAGAGAGTGAGGACCAGTTGAGCAAGGACAAGGAGAGAGTGAGGACCAGGTGAGCAAGGACAAGGAGAGAGAGTGAGGACCAGGTGAGCAAGGACAAGGAGAGAGAGTGAGGACCAGGTGAGCAAGGACAAGGAGAGAGAGTGAGGACCAGGTCTGCAAGGACAAGGAGAGAGTGAGGACCAGGTGAGCAAGGACAAGGAGAGAGTGAGGACCAGGTGAGCAAGGACAAGGAGAGAGAGTGAGGACCAGGTGAGCAAGGACAATGAGAGAGAGGGAGGACCAGGTGAGCAAGGACAATGAGAGAGAGTGAGGACCAGGTGAGCAAGGACAAGGAGAGAGAGGGAGGACCAGGTGAGCAAGGACAAGGAGAGAGTGAGGACCAGGTGAGCAAGGACAAGGAGAGAGTGAGGACCAGGTGAGCAAGGACAAGGAGAGAGAGTGAGGACCAGGTCTGCAAGGACAAGGAGAGAGTGAGGACCAGGTGAGCAAGGACAAGGAGAGAGAGTGAGGACCAGGTGAGCAAGGACAAGGAGAGAGTGAGGACCAGGTGAGCAAGGACAAGGAGAGAGTGAGGACCAGGTGAGCAAGGACAAGGAGAGAGTGAGGACCAGGTGAGGAAGGACAAGGAGAGAGAGTGAGGACCAGGTGAGCAAGGACAAGGAGAGAGAGTGAGGACCAGGGGAGCAAGGACAAGGAGAGAGAGTGAGGACCAGGTCTGCAAGGACAAGGAGAGAGAGTGAGGACCAGGTGAGCAAGGACAAGGAGAGAGTGAGGACCAGGTGAGGAAGGACAAGGAGAGAGAGTGAGGACCAGGTGAGCAAGGACAAGGAGAGAGTGAGGACCAGGTGAGCAAGGACAAGGAGAGAGAGTGAGGACCAGGTCTGCAAGGACAAGGAGAGAGAGTGAGGACCAGGTGAGCAAGGACAAGGAGAGAGTGAGGACCAGGTGAGCAAGGACAAGGAGAGAGTGAGGACCAGGTGAGCAAGGACAAGGAGAGAGAGTGAGGACCAGGTGAGCAAGGACAAGGAGAGAGAGTGAGGACCAGGTGAGCAAGGACAAGGAGAGAGTGAGGACCAGGTGAGCAAGGACAAGGAGAGAGAGTGAGGACCAGGTGAGCAAGGACAAGGAGAGAGAGTGAGGACCAGTTGAGCAAGGACAAGGAGAGAGTGAGGACCAGGTGAGCAAGGACAAGGAGAGAGAGTGAGGACCAGGTGAGCAAGGACAAGGAGAGAGAGTGAGGACCAGGTGAGCAAGGACAAGGAGAGAGAGTGAGGACCAGGTCTGCAAGGACAAGGAGAGAGTGAGGACCAGGTGAGCAAGGACAAGGAGAGAGTGAGGACCAGGTGAGCAAGGACAAGGAGAGAGAGTGAGGACCAGGTGAGCAAGGACAATGAGAGAGAGGGAGGACCAGGTGAGCAAGGACAATGAGAGAGAGTGAGGACCAGGTCTGCAAGGACAAGGAGAGAGTGAGGACCAGGTCTGCAAGGACAAGGAGAGAGTGAGGACCAGGTCTGCAAGGACAAGGAGAGAGAGTGAGGACCAGGTGAGCAAGGACAAGGAGAGAGTGAGGACCAGGTGAGCAAGGACAAGGAGAGAGAGTGAGGACCAGGTGAGCAAGGACAATGAGAGAGAGTGAGGACCAGGTGAGCAAGGACAAGGAGAGAGAGTGAGGACCAGGTGAGCAAGGACAAGAAGAGATAGTGAGGACCAGGTGAGCAAGGACAAGGAGAGAGAGTGAGGACCAGGTGAGCAAGGACAAGGAGAGAGAGTGAGGACCAGGTGAGCAAGGACAAGGAGAGAGAGTGAGGACCAGGTGAGCAAGGACAAGGAGAGAGTGAGGACCAGGTCTGCAAGGACAAGGAGAGAGTGAGGACCAGGTGAGCAAGGACAAGGAGAGAGTGAGGACCAGGTGAGCAACAGTAGGTCTTTGTAAAGTCCTCAGAGAAAACCACTGTTGTGATTTAAGGAGATACAGAAACACATTGTCCCTGCGCCCTCCCGCTCTCCTCCAGCAGGGGGCAGTGTGTCTCTGCGCACACATTTGCAGATTCATGTGGAGGAAGGTTATTGAGGGGACACCACTGCATTCATCACTTATTTGAGCGTCATTAAAACACGACCTCCGCAGACGATAATCGCTGATCATGGCGTCGAGTCGAGGAACGTTAAAGGAGCAGTTTAGACGTCACTTCAAAACACCTCCTCCTCTTCCTCAGTCCAGAGTCCAGGGAATACTCCGATATCTGAGGAGGCTTTGAGTCTTCACATGTAATATTTATCATGTTTATCACGTCCGTGTTCAATCGCTTGTATGTTTTGGCAGCTTTCAAATAGATGCACTTCCGGATTTCAAACTTTTCCATAAACTAAAGGGATAGAGAGAGACAGAGAGAGACAGAGAGACAGAGAGAACAGAGAGACAGAGAGAACAGAGAGAGAGAGAGAGAGGACAGAGAGACAGAGAGAGGACACAGAGAGAGAGAGGACACAGAGAGAGACAGAGACAGAGCCAGACAGACAGAGTGAGAGAGACAGACAGGACAGAGAGAGACAGAGGGAGACAGACAGAGAAGACAGAGAGAGAGACATAGAGGACAGAGAGAGAGAGAGAGACAGAGAGAGACAGAAAGAGACATAGAGGACAGAGAGAGAGAGAGAGAGAGAGAGAGACAGAAAGAGACAGAGAGAGACAGAGAGAGAGAGAGAGAGACAGAGAGAGACAGAAAGAGACAGAGAGAGAGAGACAGAGAGAGACAGAGTGAGAGAGACAGACAGGACAGAGAGAGACAGAGAAGACAGAGGACAGAGAGAGACGGAGCGAGACATAGAGACAGAGAGACAGGACAGAGAGAGACAGAGAAGACAGAGGACAGAGAGAGAAAGACAGAGAGAGACACCAAGAGAGAAACAGAGGAGTGGTTGCAGTACCTATGCCGCGGCTGGTGGGGGCGCCCTCGTCCTCTGTGGGCTCCGCTGGCAGCACAGTGACCTTGGAGCCTGTTTGTCTGATGAACTGCTGCAGATTCACTTGTCTCAGCTCCTTGGTCAGCAGCTCCAGGTCTGTCTGCATGTCCTGCACCACACATGGTACACACTATGAACCCACACACACAGAGACATGTCCTGATGTCCTCCTGGAGACACATGGTACACACTATGAACCCACACACACAGTCCAGATAAACTAAACAGAAGAGAAGGAGAAACCTGAAGAGTCCAGTGTTATTTGTTAACTTTAGGTTTGTTTTGTTTTTCTAAAGTGGAGGAAGTTTGAAGAATTTAGTATTTTATCGAATGTGGATAAAAGATTTTAGTCGTCTTTAGATTTAAATACTAAATTGGATTGAACCAAAGCTGGACTGAAGCTGAAGAGGAGGAGGCAGGAGGAGGTGTGCGGATGGGAAAAGGGCCACACAAACCTGGGAATCTGGCCGTACATGGCCCTCGGGCCGCACTTTGCCCAGTGCTGTTCTCAATGGAGAGAATGTTTTTATGAAACACAATAAAGTCAGGTCGCTGAGCTTTAGTCCACTGCTGTCTCAGTATTTACTCCTGAATGTCTTTAACGCAATAATCCGTCACTGAGAGAACGCTGAGACATCTGTCCAACTGTTATAGGATCTTCAAATGTTACTTTGGAATCTGCAGCACACTGGCAGAGTGGTTAGCCCTCTCACGTCTCAGCAACAAACTCTGAGGTTCAGTCCCAACTGTGGCCTTTTACAACAGTCACTTTACAATACACCAGTGTAGATCATGTGACCTGTAACATGTCCGTCTGTGGATATACGTGTGTGTATATATATATCTGTACCTGTATCTGTGTTTACTTGTGTGTACCTGTGTGTACCTGTACCTGTGTGTACCCGTGTACCTGTACCTGTAGCTTCCTGCTGCTCTGTCCCAGTGCTCGGTCCAGTGCTCTGCAGCTGCCCTCCAGCTGAACGGCCTGTCGCTCCTGAGCCCTGAGCTCAGTCTTCACTCGCAGTACCTGTGCTCGGGCTTCAGCCGCTGTCACCCACTGCGCCTCCTGCTTCTCCCTCTGCTCCTGCTCCTCCTGCAGCCCCTCCTCCACCTCCTGCTCCCACAGACACAGGTACCATTACACCTCCTCCACCTCCTGCTCCCACACAGGTACTGTACCATTACTACACCTCTGCATGACTCCCTCTGCATGACTCCCTCTGCATGACTCCCTCTGCATGACACCCTCTGCATGACACCCTCTGCATGACACCCTCTGCATGACTCCCTCTGCATGACTCCCTCTGCATGACTCCCTCTGCATGACTCCCTCTGCATGACACCCTCTGCATGACACCCTCTGCATGACTCCCTCTGCATGACACCCTCTGCATGACACCCTCTGCATGACACCCTCTGCATGACTCCCTCTGCATGACTCCCTCTGCATGACTCCCTCTGCATGACACCCTCTGCATGACACCCTCTGGATGACACCCTCTGGATGACACCCTCTGGATGACACCCTCTGGATGACTCCCTCTGCATGACTCCCTCTGCATGACTCCCTCTGCATGACTCCCTCTGCATGACACCCTCTGCATGACACCCTCTGCATGACACCCTCTGGATGACTCCCTCTGCATGACTCCCTCTGCATGACTCCCTCTGCATGACACCCTCTGGATGACTCCCTCTGCATGACACCCTCTGCATGACACCCTCTGCATGACTCCCTCTGCATGACTCCCTCTGCATGACTCCCTCTGCATGACTCCCTCTGCATGACACCCTCTGGATGACTCCCTCTGCATGACTCCCTCTGCATGACTCCCTCTGCATGACTCCCTCTGCATGACACCCTCTGCATGACACCCTCTGCATGACACCCTCAGCATGACTCCCTCTGCATGACTCCCTCTGCATGACTCCCTCTGCATGACACCCTCTGCATGACACCCTCTGCATGACTCCCTCTGCATGACTCCCTCTGCATGACTCCCTCTGCATGACTCCCTCTGCATGACTCCCTCTGGATGACTCCCTCTGCATGACTCCCTCTGCATGACTCCCTCTGCATGACTCCCTCTGCATGACTCCCTCTGCATGACTCCCTCTGCATGACTCCCTCTGCATGACACCCTCTGCATGACTCCCTCTGCATGACTCCCTCTGCATGACACCCTCTGGATGACTCCCTCTGCATGACTCCCTCTGCATGACTCCCTCTGCATGACTCCCTCTGCATGACACCCTCTGCATGACACCCTCTGCATGACACCCTCAGCATGACTCCCTCTGCATGACTCCCTCTGCATGACTCCCTCTGCATGACACCCTCTGCATGACTCCCTCTGCATGACTCCCTCTGCATGACACCCTCTGCATGACTCCCTCTGCATGACTCCCTCTGCATGACTCCCTCTGCATGACTCCCTCTGCATGACTCCCTCTGCATGACTCCCTCTGCATGACTCCCTCTGCATGACTCCCTCTGCATGACTCCCTCTGCATGACACCCTCTGCATGACTCCCTCTGCATGACACCCTCTGCATGACTCCCTCTGCATGACTCCCTCTGCATGACACTCTCTGCATGACACCCTCTGCATGACACCCTCTGCATGACTCCCTCTGCATGACTCCGTCTGCATGACACCCTCTGCATGACTCCCTCTGCATGACACCCTCTGCATGACTCCCTCTGCATGACTCCGTCTGCATGACACCCTCTGCATGACTCCCTCTGCATGACACCCTCTGCATGACTCCCTCTGCATGACTCCCTCTGCATGACTCCCTCTGCATGACACCCTCTGCATGACACCCTCTGCATGACTCCCTCTGCATGACACCCTCTGCATGACTACCTCTGCATGACACCCTCTGCATGACACCCTCTGCATGACACCCTCTGCATGACACCCTCTGCATGACTCCCTCTGCATGACACCCTCTGCATGACTCCCTCTGCATGACACCCTCTGCATGACTCCCTCTGCATGACTCCCTCTGCATGACACCCTCTGCATGACACCCTCTGCATGACTCCCTCTGCATGACTCCCTCTGCATGACTCCCTCTGCATGACTCCCTCTGCATGACTCCCTCTGCATGACTCCCTCTGCATGACTCCCTCTGCATGACACCCTCTGCATGACTCCCTCTGCATGACTCCCTCTGCATGACTCCCTCTGCATGACTCCCTCTGCATGACTCCCTCTGCATGACTCCCTCTGCATGACTCCCTCTGCATGACTCCTCTCACTGCGCTGCCGAACAGAACGTTTAAAGAGATCATTTGTTCCTTCAGCTGTCAGACTGTACAACAAACCTGGATGAGTCTTCTCCTACAGCCTCTGTCCTGTCCCTATGCTCTCACCTGCACCACACTGGTCCCTGTGCTCACCTGCACCACACTGATCTTGTCGTGGATCTGGCGCTCGCAGCCCTGCAGCCGCACCCGTAGCTCCTGGAGGCGCTCCTGCAGCTGCCTCTCGCTCTCCTGCTCGATGTGCAGCTCCGAGGCCCAGAACTCCTCCTCCTCCGTCTCCACCTCGGTCTTTCTCAGATGTTTCTCCAGACGCAGGATCTCCTCCGTCAGTCCCTCACACAGCTCCCCACTGCTCCTGCGCCTCCTCCGGGCCTCCTCCCACACATGCAGCTCCGCCTCGTATGCCTGAGGAGGGAAATGTCAGTGTTGCATCACAGGTACAGAACAAGATAAAGGAACAATAACAAAACATTAAAGGTTTTAAAATGAAATATTTAATCATATTTATTACAGCTCCTCACAGCAGCAGGAGAACGTTCTACGGCCATTATTTCTTAATAACAGACTCTCAAAACAATAATGACCGCTGCCCTTTGGCAACGCACTCTGTGCTTGTACTTCAGAGATTACTCTGACAGTAGTTGGTACACTTTGTCAAAACGGGCTACGTCACGACTGTCTCTGAGAGAAGCTAACGGAGCGTCAAAAAGCAACATTAATACAACATTTCAGGAACATTTGCAGAAGATCTGATGGATTTAGGTTAAGTTTATATTTGGGTCACTCACCGCTGATGTTCTCTGGGTTCACTTTTCTTGTAGCTCCAGAGAGTTCTAGTTTGGAAGTAGCTAGTTTAGCTGTAGCTAGCCTAGCTGTAGCTAGCCTAGCTGTTACCTGCCAAGCCACGTTACGGCGAAAACTTTGGGAACTAACTTATTTACAGTCATTAAATATATATCGAATATTAAGGCTGTCGTATAGCGGTTATCCCTCTCTAAGCTTGTGTCCTCTACCAGAGGCCTGGGAGCTTGATATATATATACAGTGCCTTGCGAAAGTAATTGGCCCCCTTGAACCTTTCAACATTTCGCCACATTTCAGGCTTCAAACAAAGATATAAAAATTTAATTTTTTGTCAAGAATCAACAACAAGTGGGACACAATCGTGAAGTGGAACGAAATTTATTGGATAATTTAAAAAAAATTTAACAAATAAAAAACTGAAAAGTGGGGCGTGCAATATTATTCGGCCCCTTGCGCTAATACTTTGTAGCGCCACCTTTTGCTGCAATTACAGCTGCAAGTCGCTTGGGGTATGTCTCTATCAGTTTTGCACATAGAGAGACTGGAATTCTTGCCCATTCTTCCTTGCAAAACAGCTCGAGCTCAGTGAGGTTGGATGGAGAGCGTTTGTTAACAGCAGTCTTCAGCTCTTTCCACAGATTCTCGATTGGATTCAGGTCTGGACTTTGACTTGGCCATTCTAACACCTGGATACGTCTATTTGTGAACCATTCCATTGTAGATTTGGCTTTATGTTTTGGATCATTGTCCTGTTGGAAGATAAATCTCCGTCCCAGTCTCAGGTCTTTTGCAGACTCCAACAGGTTTTCTTCCAGAATGGTCTTGTATTTGGCTCCATCCATCTTCCCATCAATTTTAGCCATCTTCCCTGTCCCTGCTGAAGAAAAGCAGGCCCAAAGCATGATGCTGCCACCACCATGTTTGACAGTGGGGATGGTGTGTTCAGGGTGATGAGCTGTGTTGCTTTTACGCCAAACATATCGTTTTGCATTGTGGCCAAAAAGTTCGATTTTGGTTTCATCTGACCAGAGCACCTTCTTCCACATGTTTGGTGTGTCTCCCAGGTGGCTTGTGGCAAACTAAACGAGACTTTTTATGGATATCTTTGAGAAATGGCTTTCTTCTTGCCACTCTTCCATAAAGGCCAGATTTGTGCATGACTGATTGTTGTCCTATGGACAGACTCTCCCACCTCAGCTGTAGTTATCTGCAGTTCATCAAGAGTGATCATGGGCCTCTTGTCTGCATCTCTGATCAGTCTTCTCCTTGTTTGAGATGAAAGTTTGGAGGGACGGCCGGGTCTTGGTAGATTTGCAGTGGTCTGATACTCCTTCCATTTCAATATAATTGCTTGCACAGTGCTCCTTGAGATGTTTAAAGCTTGGGAAATCTTTTTGTATCCAAATCCGGCTTTAAACCTCTCCACAACAGTATCTCGGACCTGCCTGGTGTGTTCCTTTGTCTTCATGGTTCTCTCTGCGCTTTAAACAGAACCCTGAGACTATCAAAGAGCAGGTGCATTTATACGGAGACTTGATTACACACAGGTGCATTCTATTTATCATCATCAGTCATTTAGGACAACATTGGATCATTCAAAGATCCTCACTGAACTTCTGGACTGAGTTTGCTGCACTGAAAGTAAAGGGGCCAAATAATATTGCACGCCCCACTTTTCAGTTTTTTATTTGTTAAAAAAGTTTAAATTATCCAATACATTTTGTTCCACTTCACGATTGTGTCCCACTTGTTGTTGATTCATGACAAAAAATGTAAATGTTATATCTTTATGTTTGAAGCCTGAAATGTGGCAAAATGTTGAAAGGTTCAAGGGGGCCGAATACTGTATATATACACCAAATTTGAAGTCAAAGCCCTATTATTTATAATGTTTCTCTCTTGTTATCCCTCTTGTTTCCTCGTGTATGAACTGTGCTATATAAATAATATAACAATATGTATAAATATATAAATAACTGACTCACCGCCTCGTAGGACTCCAGCTTCCTCTGCAGGACGCTCAGAGTTTCTCGCTGCAGCTGCAGAAGCCGCATCAGCTCTTCCACGCGACACGCCCAGACGTTCGGAGCCGGCGCCGTGTCATGACCCGCCCCCTTCAGGAACCTGCTCTCTGCCCCTGAGTCCGGGGCCCCTGAGTCCGGCAGCCGGGCCCCTGTGAGGATGTCCCGGAGGCTCCTGGGGGTCCCGGTGAACGTCAGGGACTTCCTGCGGGGCTCGCGGCGGCGGAGCGAGTGCTCATGGTTGTAGTGTCTGAGTTTGGCGAGCGGCGGGAGGCTCTGGCGGTGCAGGCCTCTCTCGGGGCCTCTCAGTGGGGGGCCCTCAGACGGGGGCCTCTCGGTGAGGGAGGGGCCGGTGCGGTGCAGGACGAGCTGGACATCCCCCGCGTACTGTCCCCACGTGTTCAGAGACGCCACCGGGCTCTCGTTCGGCGCCAAGTGCCGCTCTGTGTCTCGCCATTTCTCCACCAGAGTGTATCTGCCAGTGCGGCCTACGGCAAAGGAGGAGGTCAGGGTTAGGACCAGGACCAGGACCAAGACCAGGACCATGACCAGGACCAGGACCATGACCAGGACCTGTATCTTTAAAAAGATACATAAATGTCTCCCTTGGAATGGTTTCTCTCTCTGGTCTCTCGCTTTGGTCTCTCTTTGGTCTCTCTCTTTGGTCTCTCTCTTTGGTCTCTCTCTTTGGTCTCTCTCTTTGGTCTCTCTCACTGGTCTCTCTCACTGGTCTCTCTCACTGGTCTCTCTCACTGGTCTCTCTCTCTGGTCTCTCTCTCTGGTCTCTCTCTCTGGTCTCTCTCTCTGGTCTCTCTCTCTGGTCTCTCTCTCTGCACTCTTTCTCTGGAGATTAAAATTACAATAAACGTTAACCTCAGAGGGAAAGATGCACTATACCAGGTTCATTTCCATCCTAGTCCCTGGGCTGATGGTTTGATGATGGTTCTGAGTCACATGGTCACTCAGACTCTGTGTGACCATGTGACTTAGAGCCATGTGGAATTGTGTTGATACCAGGCTCTTACAGAGTGGAGTTTGGCAGGATGGAGGATGGAGAATTGGCCTTCAGGCCTGAAGGTTGTGGGTTCATTTCCCACCTCTCCACCGACTCCCACTGATGTCTGCTGTCGTTGTGTCCTTGGGCAAGACACTTAACCCCACTTTGCCTAAAAGCCCCCACTGAAAGATCAAGGCTATGCTCACACTCAGAGCAGCCGTCCTCCTGTGGACTCACCACCTGCAGAGGGTCAGTGAGGGGCTGGTGCTATGAGACTTGGGTGGCATCTCTGATTGCCACCCCCCTGACCCAGAAATGGATTAAGGGGAAGAAAATGGATGGATGGATGGATGGAGGATGACTCATTCTCCCCCCCCTCCTCCTCCCTCCTCCTCCTCTTCATCCTCCCCCCCTCCTCCTCCTCTTCCTCCTCCCCCTCAACCATCCTCCCTCCACCCCCCACCCACCACCTTCCTCCTCCCCTCCTCTCCCCCCCCCCCCCCCCCCTCCTCAGGACTTACCTATGGCCTGTGCGAGTGCGATGACGACCTCCTGACAGGTGGTGGCCTCGGTGACTCCACACACGACTCTCTGGACTCCATCCACCCAGACCTTCAGCTCCATGAGGCCAGATCCGGGTCAGATCCGGGTCAGAGCCAGGCCAGATCCGGGTCAGATCCGGGTCAGAGCCTTCTTCTCGGTGACGGCCCGGACATGGCGGACGGAGCCTACGGTGGCTGAGATAAACAGGAAACAAGAGGCACAACAGGAAGTGGTTACTCAGGATCTGCTTAAAAAGCGACTAAACACCTGTGCCCAGCCTTACTCCGCCCACATGAAGATTTGAAAATGTTCTCTAAAAAGGGTGTTGCCTGGAGGACCAAGGGACAAGAAAGGGGGCATAGAGTTGGGCGTGGTCTGGGCTGTGATTGACAGCTCACTTGTCACACAAAAAAACAGACAGTTGTCATTGCTGCTTAAAGCAATAGTTTACAGACCAGAAAGTCTAATTCCACCCTTGTTTACACACTAAGATAATTGTAAAGCTACACACCTGAACCTAATCACACTCAATAATCTCAGAATCACTCATGTAATTTAATTTTAATCCACTAGATGGCGCCAGAATACTCCAAACTGCAGCTGGGGCGTGTGTGAGAGTTGGATGGGTTCATATCACTGGCTCTGACAGACTGACGTCACACAAAACAACTGATGTCATAGAGAACTTCAGAGTCAATGGAGAGGCCAGGACCAAATTAAAATGTAGTACCACCAAAAAGGTTGAGAGGGCGCCACACAGACGTTTTTTGGCTCAAAAGTGATATTTTATCTAATTTGAACTAAAATGTCAAAAAAAAATGACCAGGATATGTAGAGAGCACAATAAACATATTTATGGAGTTTATGAGTTGAAAAAAGTTGATTTGGCGTTTAGTCGCTCTTTAAGGAGGAGCACAGGTACTGGCCTCCTGCTGGCACTCTGAGGAGCACAGGGACTGGCCTCCTGCTGGGACTGCTAAAGACTCTGAGAGGAGGTGGGAAGTTCTTCCTCTTCCCCTCTCTCTCTCTCCCTCTCTTTCTCTCCCTCTCCCTCTCTCTCTCCCCCTCTTTTCTATGAATAGTCAGACCGCTGCTGGAGGCAGAGTGAAGGTGCCAACGGACATTTCTCGCTCCAGATTATCTTTGTTCACAGAAACACAAACAAAAGAAGCTGCTGAACCAATCAGACTCAGAAAAGGCCGCCAAAATCTGGACCTGGGATTATTCCAGAAACAGTGTGTGTGTGACCTTGAAGAGCAGAGAGGAGGCTGGTTTGGTGAGTTTGTGGGGACTTCAGGTCTCTATCACAGCCTCAGTATCACATGGTTTTACTGTAGGTTTACCCGAGAGACCAGAGAGGGCGAGAGAGACCAGAGAGAGGGCGAAGAAGACCAGAGGGAGACCAAGAGAAAGACACCAGAGAGAGACCAGAGAGAGACCAAGAGAGAGACCAGAGAGAGACACCAGAGAGAGACCAAGAGAGAGACCAGAGAGAGACCAGAGAGAGACCAAGAGAGAGACCAGAGAGACACCAGAGAGAGACACCAGAGAGAGACCAAGAGAGAGACCAGAGAGAGACCAGAGACCAAGAGAGAGACCAGAGAGAGACCAAGAGAGAGACCAGAGAGAGACACCAGAGAGAGACCAGAGAGAGACACCAGAGAGAGACCAAGAGAGAGACCAGAGAGAGACCAGAGAGAGACCAAGAGAGAGACCAGAGAGAGACCAGAGAGAGACCAAGAGAGAGACCAGAGAGAGAGACACCGGAGAGAGACCAGAGAGAGACACCAGAGAGAGACCAAGAGAGAGACCAGAGAGACACCAGAGAGAGACACCAGAGAGAGACACCAGAGAGAGACCAAGAGAGAGACCAAGAGAGAGACCAAGAGAGAGACCAGAGAGAGACCAAGAGAGAGACCAGAGAGAGACCAGAGAGAGACCAGAGAGAGACACCAGAGAGAGACCAGAGAGAGACCAGAGAGAGACCAAGAGAGAGACCAGAGAGACACCAGAGAGAGACCAAGAGAGAGAGACCAAAGAGAGACCAGAGAGAGACACCAGAGAGAGACACCAGAGAGACACCAAAGAGAGACCAGAGAGAGACACCAGAGAGAGACACCAGAGAGACACCAGAGAGAGACCAGAGAGAGAGACAAGAGAGAGAGACAAGAGAGAGACAGATTCAGATTCAGATGTATTTTTCCAGGTTCCTTTGAAAAGCGTCATGTACAAACCATAATAAATATCACTGTGTCTTATTTTCCTTCGTGTTTGTAAAGTCTGTGAATAATATAAAGGACAAAGATCACGATATGTCACAGAATCACATCCTGTCTGTATCGCAAAATGTTCAGAATCACAATAATATAAGGCCCAAATATCATGATACTCTTCGGCTCTCAGTCTGTTCATAGTTTTGCGAAGTGGGCGGAGGCTGATGATAAATGTCTCTTGTTGCAGAATGAAGAAATACTGTGTCTGATTCTCATGAAGGAGGAAAAGCCAAAAGATTAAAAAGTCAACATTCTGCAAGAACCACTTTTGCTCTTTTCATTTCAGGGAAAGTTCACAGTAACAATGACAGAGGAGACGAGGACAGAGGAGACGAGGACAGAGGAGACGAGGACAGAGGAGAGAGCACAGAGGAGACGAGGACAGAGGAGACAAGGAGAGAGGAGACGAGGACAGAGGAGACGAGGACAGAGGAGAGAGCACAGAGGAGAGAACACAGAGGAGACGAGGACAGAGGAGACGAGGACAGAGGAGACGAGGACAGAGGAGAGAGGACAGAGGAGACGAGGACAGAGGAGACGAGGACAGAGGAGACAAGGACAGAGGACAGAGGAGAGAGGACACCGTAGTCAAAAGGTTCTTTGTTCACAGCCCTCTGCATTAAACCTCCCCCACACTTTCTCAAAGTCACACTCATATAGCCTGGTATAGTCTCATATAGCATCATAGCCTCATATATAATATATGTATATACATATATATATATATATATAAATATATATATATATATATATATATATATAAAAATTGTCCACACACCTTTGGCCCTCCGCGGGCGGTTATCCCTCTCTAAGCTCGGGTCCTCTACCAGAGGCCTGGGAGCTTGAGGGTTCTGTGCAGTATCTTTGCTGTTCCTAGCACTGCACATTTCTGGACCCAGATGTCTGAGGTTGTTCCGGGGATCCGCTGTAACCACTCTTCTAGCTTCGGGGTCACTGCCCCGAGTGCACCGATCACCACGGGCACTACTGTCACCTTTACCCTCCAGGCCCTCTCCAGATCCTCTCTGAGACCTTGCTATTTCTCAAGCTTTTCATGTTCTTTTTTCCGGATGTTACCATCGCTTGGAATTGCCACGTCCACCACCACGCCTGTCCTCTGCCCTTTGTCCACCACCACGGCTGTCCTCTGCCCTTTGTCCACCACCACGGCTGTCCTCTGCCCTTTGTCTACCACCACAATGTCAGGTTGGTTCATTACCATTCGGTCGGTCTGTATCTGGAAGTCCCACAGGATCTTCACATGCTCATTCTCCACCACCTTTGGAGGAGTTTCCCACTTAGACCTTGGGGTTTCCAGCCCATACTCTGCACAGATGTTTCTGTACACTATGCCAGCCACTTGGTTATGGCGTTCCATGTAGGCCTTCCCTGCCAGCATCTTGCACCCTGCAGTTATGTGTTGGATCGTCTCAGGTGCCTCTTTGCACAACCGACACCTTGGGTCTTGTCTGGTGTGGTATATCTGGGCCTCTCTGGTGCTCAGGGCCTGCTCCTGTGGAGCCATGATGAGTGCCTCTGTGCTGTCCTGTAAGCCAGCCCTTTCTAGCCATTGGTAGGACTTCTTGAGATCAGCCACTTCTGTTATGCTCCGGTGGTACATGCCGTGTAGGGGCTTGTTCTCCCATGATGGGCTCTCCTCCAGCACCTCCTCATCTCGCCACTGCCTGAGACATTCACTGAGTACGTCATCCGTTTTGGGCTTCTCCATGATGTAGTTATGGAGTTTGAATGTTTCGTGCTGGACAGTGGCTCTCACACTCACTAGTCCTCGGCCTCCTTCTTTACGGCTTACGTACAGTCTCAGGGTGCTGGATTTGGGATGGAACCCGCCATGCATGGTAAGGAGCTTTCGAGTTTTAACATCCGTGGTCTGAATCTCTTCCTTTGGCCACCTGATTATTCCTGCAGGGTATCTGATCACTGGCAGGGCGTAGCTGTTAATTGCCCGGGCCTTGTTCTTGTCATTGAGCCGGCTTCTTAGGACCTGCCTTACTCGCTGGAGGTATTTGGCAGTTGCCGCTTTCCTCGTCACCTGTTCGAGGTTGCCATTTGCCTGTGGTATACCGAGATACTTGTAACTGTCCTCAACGTCTGCTATTGTTCCCTCTGGGAGTGAGATCCCTTCTGTGTGGACTACCTTGCCTCTCCGAGTCACCATCCTGCTACATTTCTCGAGTCCGAATGACATCCCGATGTCATGGCTGTAGATCCTGGTTGTTTGGATCAGCGAGTCGATGTCTCTCTCGCTCTTGGCGTACAGCTTGATGTCATCCATGTAGAGGAGGTGACTGATCTTTGCTCCGTTCCTGAGGCGGTATCCATAGCCAGTCTGGTCCATTACTTGGCTTAGAGGGTTGAGGCCTATGCAGAACAGTAGTGGGGACAGAGCATCTCCTTGGTAGATACCACATTTGATGGTCACTTGTGCGAGCGGCTTGCCATTTGCCTCAAGGGTGGTCTTCCACATTCCCATCGAGTTTGCAACGAAGTCCCTTAGAGCCTTGTTGATATTGTACAACTTCAAGCATTCCATGATCCATGTGTGTGGCATTGAGTCGTAGGCTTTCTGGTAATCAATCCAGGCTGTGCACCGGCAGTCTTGGGCGACTGTTCTGTCAACCAGGAGCTGGTGTTTGGTTCCTCTGGTGTCCCTACCAATGCCCTTCTGTGCTGTGCTCATGAATTGTTCCATATTCCCACTTATCTTAGCCGCAATGATGCCTGACATGAGCTTCCATGTTGTGGAGAGACAGGTTATCGGCCGGTAGTTGGAGGGGACTGCACCCTTGACAGGGTCTTCATGATCAGGACCGTTCGCCCTGCGGTTAGCCATTCTGGGTGAGTCCCGTCTCTCAGCAGCTGGTTCATTTGTGCTGCTAGGCGCTCATGGAGTGATGTGAGTGTCCGTAGCCAGTAGGCATGGACCATATCAGGGCCAGGTGCTGTCCAGTTTTTCATACCTGAGACTCTTTCTCGGATGTCTGCCTCTGTGATGGTAACTGAGTTCTGTTCTGGGAGGTGGCTGTGGATCCTCTCTCAGGGACACCAGCCATTGTGCACTTCTGTTATGTGCTGCATCCTTCTCCTCTGTGTATATATATATATATATATATATATATATATATATATATATATATATATATACATGCATACAGTATATATACTGTTTCTGTTCTAGAGAGAGGGGTATGGAGACTTCTGCAGCAGAGGAAACGGCGAAGGAAACGGGACACAATGGGGGTGTGTTATGTAAGTGTTTACTAAAGAAGTGAGTCAACTGCAGCTTAAGGAGCGAGTGTGAAGTGAGTGAAAATCAGGCTCAAAGGTACAAGACCTTATCAGAGGAATGATGGTTTATTTGTATGGCACGGTTCATAAATACATTAATATAATAATCATAAATAATCACCACTTTAAAAAGAGTCTAGATCCAAACCCAACTCTTCCTCTTTGTGTTAACGATACGTTTAGAGAAAGTGCCACGACTTAAAGAAATAGATGGACTACGGTCGTGACGTGAATCGCAAAATGAATTCACTGTGTTCCAATAGAACTCGTCTCGTTCTTGTGCGAGAAACCGATCTCGTTTCTCGCCTCATGGGAAATCTGGCCCCGCCCCTTTCCAGCTCCAGTGTAAAAGGAAAAAGGGTTTAATATGAACAGAACTGCTGTCATGCTGCAGATAATACAGACCCAGGTCTCTCTGGTCTCTCTCTCTGGTCTCTCTCTGGTCTCTCTCTCTGGTCTCTCTCTGGTCTCTCTCTCTGGTCTCTCTCTGGTCTCTCTCTCTGGTCTCTCCCTCCAGTCTCTCTCTGGTCTCTCTCTGGTCTCTCTCTCTGGTCTCTCTCTCCGGTCTCTCTCTGGTCTCTCTCTGGTCTCTCTCTGGTCTCTCTCTGGTCTCTCTCTCTGGTCTCTCTCTCTGGTCTCTCTCTCTGGTCTCTCTCTCTGGTCTCTCTCTCTGGTCTCTCCCTCCGGTCTCTCTCTGGTCTCTCTCTCTGGTCTCTCTCTCTGGTCTCTCTCTCTGGTCTCTCTCTCTGGTCTCTCTCTCTGGTCTCTCTCTCTGGTCTCTCCCTCCGGTCTCTCTCTGGTCTCTCTCTCTGGTCTCTCTCTCTGGTCTCTCTCTCTGGTCTCTCCCTCCGGTCTCTCTCTGGTCTCTCTCTCTGGTCTCTCTCTGGTCTCTCTCTGGTCTCTCTCTCTGGTCTCTCTCTGGTCTCTCTCTCTGGTCTCTCTCTCTGGTCTCTCTCTCTGGTCTCTCCCTCCGGTCTCTCTCTGGTCTCTCTCTCTGGTCTCTCTCTGGTCTCTCTCTGGTCTCTCTCTCTGGTCTCTCTCTCTGGTCTCTCTCTGGTCTCTCTCTCTGGTCTCTCTCTGGTCTCTCTCTCTGGTCTCTCTCTGGTTTCTCTCTGGTCTCTCTCTCTGACCCTCGCACCATCAAGGACCTGCTCACGTGTGTTTTCACACCATCGCTGCAAAAAATCTGTTGACTCAAAGTACATTCCTGAGCGAGCACGAGGAGAGAGCGGCCTCCAAATGTAACTGAGATTCTGGTGATCTCTGACTGTAGCATAAGAAAGAATGGTATAAATCCTGTATATTCTTGTGTAGATTATATATTATATATATATATATATATATATATGAGTTTATGTAAAAAGGACAATGCTAACAGCTAGCTGAAGCCTAATAAGGAAGTGTTGCTCCTCTCTTTGGCTTCGTTCAGCAACATTGAGAAGTAAACTCCTCCTACTCCAACCTTTGTGTCACTCTGCATTTTGGTTTTAAAAATATGTGGTTTAACATTGTCTGATTCTTACGCTAAAATATGGTCTTCCTGAAAATGTGAGACAGACTTCTTCTCTGACTGTTCAAATCCAGGTCAAAAACAGTTCTGTTTTATCTTTACTCTTTTCAATGAACTCTGATTATTGATGAGGGTTTGGTTTAGTGGAGAACTTTATGATGTGACGGATATAATAAAAATGGCAGAAAAGACGATTATGAAGCGTTTTCTTTGGAGGTGAAACGTGCTGCGCTGCATGAGTCTGTGTTGGCTCCAGAGGCTCCATATGGTCCTACGTCTGTTCATACTCTGCCTCCAACACTACCCACCATCACAGTCTCTCTCTGGTCTCCCTCTCTGGTCTCCCTCTCTGGTCTCTCTCTCTGGTCTCTCTCTCTGGTCTCTCTCTCTGGTCTCCCTCTCTGGTCTCCCTCTCTGGTCTCTCTCTCTGGTCTCCCTCTCTGGTCTCTCTCTCTGGTCTCTCTCTCTGGTCTCCCTCTCTGGTCTCTCTCTCTGGTCTCTCTCTCTGGTCTCCCTCTCTGGTCTCCCTCTCTGGTCTCTCTCTCTGGTCTCCCTCTCTGGTCTCTCTCTCTGGTCTCTCTCTCTGGTCTCCCTCTCTGGTCTCCCTCTCTGGTCTCCCTCTCTGGTCTCCCTCTCTGGTCTCTCTCTCTGGTCTCTCTCTCTGGTCTCTCTCTGGTCTCTCTCTCTGGTCTCTCTCTCTGGTCTCTCTCTCTGGTCTCTCTCTCTGGTCTCTCTCTCTGGTCTCCCTTTCTGGTCTCTCTCGGGTCTCTCTCTGGTCTCCCTCTCTGTTTCTTTCTGGTTTCTCTCTGGTCTCTCTCTGCTCTCTCTCTCTGGTCTCTCTCTCTGCTCTCTCTCTCTGGTCTCTCTCTCTGGTCTCTCTCTCTGGTCTCTCTCTCTGGTCTCTCTCTCTGGTCTCCCTTTCTGGTCTCTCTCGGGTCTCTCTCTGGTCTCCCTCTCTGTTTCTTTCTGGTTTCTCTCTGGTCTCTCTCTGCTTTCTCTCTCTGGTCTCTCTCTCTGCTCTCTCTCTCTGGTCTCTCTCTCTGGTCTCTCTCTCTGGTCTCTCTCTCTGGTCTCTCTCTCTGGTCTCTCTCTCTGGTCTCCCTTTCTGGTCTCTCTCGGGTCTCTCTCTGGTCTCCCTCTCTGTTTCTTTCTGGTTTCTCTCTGGTCTCCCTTTCTGGTTTCTCTCTGCTCTCTCTCTCTGCTCTCTCTGCTCCCTCTCTGGTCTCTCTCTCTGGTCTCTCTCTCTGGTCTCTCTCTCTGGTCTCTCTCTCTGGTCTCTCTGCTCTCTCTGCTCCCTCTCTGGTCTCTCTCTGGTCTCTCTCTCTAGTCTCTCTCTGGTCTCTCTCTCTGGTCTCTCTCTCTGGTCTCTCTCTCTGGTCTCTCTCTGGTCTCTCTCTCTGGTCTCTCTCTCTGGTCTCTCTCTCTGGTCTCTCTCTGGTCTCTCTCTCTGGTCTCTCTCTCTGGTCTCTCTCTCTGGTCTCTCTCTCTGGTCTCTCTCTCTGGTCTCTCTCTCTGGTCTCTCTCTGGTCTCTCACAGAGTTTGTGGTGTGTAATTAGGAACAATGGAGGTATTTCTTTACAGACTGGACGCGCTCAGAGGCGGAGTTTTTATCCAGTGCTGACGACTGAGAGGCCGTGTTCTCGACGGCGCCCCCTGTGGTGAAACCTGTAATTACTAGACTTTTATGCACAGCTGTAATTGGAACCAGAGCTGTTGTGAAACGGCTCAGTGTGGTCTGCTCTCGGCCAATCAGAGACGAGCAGGAAGTCACCGCCATTTTAAATCATAAATGTGAGTTTAGCCTGAGTTGGGACCTGGAACCACAAGGTCTGTGTGTGTTCAAAGTGTGCGTGTCCAAAGTGTGTGTGTTCAAAGTGTGTGTGTTCAAAGTGTGTGTGTGTCCAAAGTGTGTTTGTGTCCAAAGTGTGTGTGTGTGTGTGTGTCCAAAGTGTGTGTGTGTGTCCAAAGTGTGTGTGTGTGGGTCCAAAGTGTGTGTGTGTGTCCAAAGTGTGTGTGTGGGTCCAAAGTGTGTGTGTGTCCATAGTGTGTGTGTGTGTGTGTGTCCAAAGTGTGTGTGTGTGTGTGTCCATAGTGTGTGTGTGTGTGTGTCCAAAGTGTGTGTGTGTGTGTCCAAAGTGTGTGTGTCCAAAGTGTTTGTGTGTGTGTCCAAAGTGTGTGTGTGTGTGTGTGTCCAAAGTGTGTGTAAGTAAGTCATCTTTATTCATATCGCACATTTTGACAGACCAAGATCAGTCGAAGCACTTTACAGAGTTCAGATATAGTTCCATTGAAGAAGCGAGTCCAGAACACACTGGACCAGAACACACTGGACCAGAACACACTGGACCAGAACACACTGGACCAGAACACACTGGACCAGAACACACTGGACCAGAACACACTGGACCAGAACACACTGGACCAGAACACGCTGGACCAGAACACACTGGACCAGAACACGCTGAACCAGAACACGCTGGACCAGAACACACTGGACCAGAACACACTGGACCAGAACACGCTGGACCAGAACACACTGGACCAGAACACGCTGGACCAGAACACACAGGACCAGAACACACTGGACCAGAACACACAGGACCAGAACACGCTGGACCAGAACACGCTGGACCAGAACACACAGGACCAGAACACACTGGATCAGAACACACTGGACCAGAACACACTGGACCAGAACACACTGGACCAGAACACACTGGACCAGAACACGCTGGACCAGAACACACTGGACCAGAACACACTGGACCAGAACACACTGGACCAGAACACACTGGACCAGAAAACACAGGACCAGAACACACTGGACCAGAAAACACAGGACCAGAACACACAGGATCAGAACACACTGGACCAGAAAACACAGGACCAGAACACACTGGACCAGAAAACACAGGACCAGAACACACAGGACCAGAACACACAGGACCAGAACACACAGGACCAGAACACACAGGACCAGAACACACTGGACCAGAACACACAGGACCAGAACACACTGGACCAGAACACACAGGACCAGAACACACTGGACCAGAACACACAGGACCAGAACACGCTGGACCAGAACACGCTGGACCAGAACACGCTGGACCAGAACACGCTGGACCAGAACACACTGGACCAGAACACGCTGGACCAGAACACGCTGGACCAGAACACACAGGACCAGAAAACACAGGACCAGAACACACTGGACCAGAACACACTGGACCAGAACACACTGGACCAGAACACACTGGACCAGAACACACAGGACCAGAACACACTGGACCAGAACACGCTGGACCAGAACACACTGGACCAGAACACACAGGACCAGAACACGCTGGACCAGAACACGCTGGACCAGAACACGCTGGACCAGAACACGCTGGACCAGAACACGCTGGACCAGAACACGCTGGACCAGAACACGCTGGACCAGAACACACAGGACCAGAACACACTGGACCAGAACACGCTGGACCAGAACACGCTGGACCAGAACACACTGGACCAGAACACACTGGACCAGAACACACTGGACCAGAACACACTGGACCAGAACACACTGGATCAGAACACACTGGACCAGAACACGCTGGACCAGAACACGCTGGACCAGAACACACTGGACCAGAACACACTGGACCAGAACACACTGGACCATCAAAGCCTCCGACCAAACACCCTCCACTCGTAACATTCAGACAATTGTGCATGTTTTTAGTGGTAGGGGAAACTGGAGCACCTGGAGGAAACCTACGCAGACACGGGGAGAACATGCAACCTCCAATCAGAAAGGCCCTGTTCTGACCGGGATTCGAACCCAGGACCTTCTTGCTGAGAAGTGAGAGTGCTAACCACTCAGCCACTGTGTGTTCAAAGATGCGCCTTCATCCTGTGTCAGGGACATTGTTCTGATAAGACCAAGGCTGCATTCTACGACCACAACACATGTGTACTCTCTCACAGTCAGAGGGGGAGGGGGGAGAGAGGGGGAGAGAGAGGGTGAGAGAGAGAGAGAGAGGGTGAGAGAGAGAGAGAGAGAGAGGGTGTGAGAGAGAGAGAGAGAGGGAGAGAGAGAGAGAGAGGGTGTGAGAGAGAGAGAGAGAGAGGGTGTGAGAGAGAGAGAGAGAGAGAGGGTGTGAGAGAGAGAGAGAGGGTGTGAGAGAGAGAGAGGGTGAGAGAGAGAGAGAGGGTGTGAGAGAGAGAGAGAGGGTGAGAGAGAGAGAGAGAGAGAGAGGGTGAGAGAGAGAGAGAGAGGGTGAGAGAGAGGGTGAGAGAGAGAGAGAGAGAGAGAGGGTGAGAGAGTCTTTAAGTTCCTTTCTATCCCATGTATCTGTGTCTCGCCCTAAACCACAGCAGTGGTGTCAGAGGACTTAGTAAAGTTGATGATTCACCAACAGCAGATCAGGAAATCAAACACAGGAAATGAAATGATAACATGTCCCAAAGGAAATGTCCTTAAAGGTTCCAAATCATCACTGTCCTTGGTTTAGTGGCTGGGGAAACCGGAGCACCTGGAGGAAACCGGAGCAGACATGGGGAGAACATGCAAACTCCACTTAGAAAGGCCCAGTTATGAACCCAGATGCGAGAGGGCTAACCACTCAGCCAGAAGTAAAGGAGGATTTTCACAAATGTTAGGAAAGAACTGTCCTTTCCATTCTTTCTGGTCTGATTGGACGAGCACGTGTCACCAGAATGATTGACAGTTGGGAGGACCAATAGAAGCAGAAAATCCTCCTTTAAACCTTAAAAGAAAGTAATAAAAATGAACTCAGTCTGGTCTTAAATCTTGATGAAAAACAAAGTTTTACTGAAGACTTTTTGACATTTATTATTGAACAAAGCACAGATGACTTCTCCCCCGATCTGCTCCGTGACTCCACACTCTCTGTTTCTGCTGAATATTAAAGTATTGGTTGAGCCCGGGGCCCCCACTGCAGAGGTCAAAGCTGCCAGGAGCCTGCACATCTGGACTCACACTCAGCCAGAAATAATACTGCCTTTGTTCCACTGCCACAGCCACGGGTCTCCACTGCTCACTCAGACTGCAGCAGGAACTACAGAGAGAGGGGCCCTTTAGAGGGGCCATTAGAGAGGCCCTTTAGAGGGGCCATTAGAGAGACCCTTTAGAGGGGCCATTAGAGAGACCCTTTAGAGGGGTCTGGGAGACTTCAGAACTCCTGCGAGACTTTAGCTTAGAGTTGGGATGAGCTGGATTCCAAACAGAATCATAGATTCCATCACACTGTAAAAGAATAAATAATCAATAACTTTGCTTTTCTCTATAGAAGCTCAGTCATCACAACGCACCAAACCTACCCAGGTCTCACCTGGTCTTACCTGGTCTCACCTGGTCTCACCTGGTCTTACCACACCGTGGTACTCATTTCATTTTGTACTAAGTTCTGGATTAACCCCTTCCACCTGTTAAAGCTGCACTAACTGACTGTATTTTTGTATTAATTACGAAAGTGCTATCCATGTCCATGTCCATGCAGTGCACTGGGATAAACGTCCTTTTGAAGAAAAGTAGCGCAGATTTGTGCTGGCGTGACATTATATTTTAGATCAAGTTTTGATGAAACAAGGAAGAGAATGTGTTTCGGGTCTCAGATTGTGACCAATCACAGCGGACCACTGGCCCCCACTTTTGTGAGAAATCTACAGGTCCGTTAGCATAGACAGCTGTGTTAGCACAATAAGCGGCGGCTTTAACTCCTTTTGCAGATTGAAACCATTGGATCTGAGTTTATGCGCCCGTCGTTAGCATTTAGCATTTAACCTAGCTTTAGCATTTAGCCTAGCTTTAGCCTCTCCTTTGCCGCTAACGGAGCCCGTGGGGAGTAGAGCCACAACATCTTTGCTTTGATGACATTTGTTAAACATTCCTCTTGCTCCGGCTTCAGTTTCTTGATATTTGGATTGAACCAGAACAGATTATTTTACTATCGCATTCTCCGACAAACTGCAACCAGTGAATTCAGCACAAACTCTTGACGTCACCGACACGACCTACAACACCCGCCTCCCCCGCTCTCTGATTGGTCGGAGGGGATTCAACCGAGGAGACGGCAGCCAATAGGATCAGACACAGGCGTACATGTAGGAAATGATCATGGACCAGAGTTTACACATGGTAAGACCAGAGTTTACACATGGTATGACCAGAGTTTACACATGGTATGACCAGAGTTTACACATGGTATGACCAGAGTTTACACATGGTAAGACCAGAGTTTACACATGGTAAGACCAGAGTTTTCACATGGTAAGACCAGAGTTTACACATGCAAACATAAACACAAAACATAGACACACTCTCCAGGCTTCACCATAACAAAACACATGTACCTTTAACCATAACATGTACCTTTAACCATAACATGTACCTTTAACCATAACAAAACACATGTACCTTTAGCCATAACAAAACACATGTACCTTTAGCCATAACATGTACCTTTAACCATAACATGTACCTTTAACCATAACATGTACCTTTAGCCATAACAAAACACATGTACCTTTAACCATAACATGTACCTTTAACCATAACAAAACACATGTACCTTTAACCATAACGAAACACATGTACCTTTAACCATAACATGTACCTTTAACCATAACATGTACCTTTAACCATAACATGTACCTTTAACCATAACATGTACCTTTAACCATAACATGTACCTTTAACCATAACATGTACCTTTAACCATAACATGTACCTTTAGCCATAACATGTACCTTTAACCATAACATGTACCTTTAGCCATAACATGTACCTTCAGCCATAACAAAACACATGTACCTTTAGCCATAACAAAACACATGTACCTTTAGCCATAACAAAACACATGTACCTTTGACCATAACAAAACACATGTACCTTTGACCATAACAAAACACATGTACCTTCAGCCATAACAAAACACATGTACCTTTAGCCATAACAAAACACATGTACCTTTGACCATAACAAAACACATGTACCTTTAGCCATAACAAAACACATGTACCTTTGACCATAACAAAACACATGTACCTTTAACCATAACAAAACACATGTACCTTTAACCATAACGAAACACGTGTACCTTTAACCATAACGAAACACGTGTACCTTTAATTAACCATAACAAAACACATGTACCTTTAACCATGACATCCACTTGTACCTTTAGCTGCAGTTAAAGGTACCGCAGACTTGTGTGTCTCAGTGAAACTCTTTAGACCAAACGCCGTTAGATCTGAGCCAAACTCCGCCGCGTTGAGCATTAAGCCGCTATTCTTAGTCCGTAATGGTCTTACCTCTGGTTCAGGAGCACTCTCACCCCGCAGCCGCCGCTCGCTCCGGGATCAAGTTTAGGACGCAGCGTCTGCTCTGGCTCCGGTCGCTCCGTTCTTGGTTCTGCAGAAGAAGAAAAGGCTCCGAATCACTTCAGTCACTTGCGACAAAGTGACGTGCATCGGGCGCAGAGGATGTGGGGGAGGCGGGGGGTAGAGGGGGGAGGCAGATGGGGGAGGTAAAGGAGGAGGCAGAGGAAGGGAGGCACAGGGGGAGGCAGATGGGGGAGGTAAAGGAGGAGGCAGAGGAAGGGAGGCACAGGGGGAGGCAGATGGGGGAGGTAAAGGAGGAGGCAGAGGAAGGGAGGCACAGGGGGAGGCAGATGGGGGAGGTAAAGGAGGAGGCAGAGGAAGGGAGGCGCAGGGGGAGGCAGATGGGGGAGGTAAAGGAGGAGGCAGAGGAAGGGAGGCGCAGGGGGAGGCAGATGGGGGAGGTAAAGGAGGAGGCAGAGGAAGGGAGGCGCAGGGGGAGGCAGATGGGGGAGGTAAAGGAGGAGGCAGAGGAAGGGAGGCACAGGGGGAGGTAAAGGAGGAGGAAGAGGAGGGGAGGCACAGGGGGAGGCACGGGAGGAGGCAGATGGGGAGGCACGGGGGGGGGGTGTAGAGGGGGGAAGCACAAAAGCACGGTCCGTTTGTTAGGGTAAAGTTTGTCTCCGGATGCAGGAGTGGGGTGGTCCGCTTCACAAGCTGCAGGAGAAGGAGTCGCACCTCCTCTCACCTCCTCTCTCTCACTCCTCTTCCTCTCTCCTCCTCCTCTCCTCTTCCTCTCTCCTCTCTCCTCCTCTTCCCTCCTCTCTCCTTTCTCTCACCTCCTCTTCCTCTCTCCCTTTGGTAAACACAGCTTTGGATCTGGGGCATTGCGGCGCAAAGCATTGTGGACTGTTTTAAAGCTGCAACACACTCTGGACCCGGGATGAAACCTGGGGGTAACTCTAACCTGGGGGTAACTCTAACCTGGGGGTAACTCTAACTTGGGGTAGCTCTAACTTGGGGGTAGCTCCAACTTCTGCTTTATCCCTATAGAACCCAGACATAAACATATTCATTATTAAAGAAATGATGCAGAATTCAACCCTCAACCTTCCGTCACGTGTGGAGAGTCTCTGAAGTCACTGTTTGTTACTTTGTGTCTTCTGTGTTTTAAACCGGACCTGGAGAAAGTTCAATGACCAAATATGGCAATGTAGCATCTTCGCTCTGTTTCTGCACTAAACCAAAAAGTCAGAGTTCTTTTGCCAAAACCGTTGAACTCCTTTAAATGTCTTTGTAACGAGCTACAAGAGCATTTCTGACAAACACTTTCCTCAAACATTTACACACAACATCCACAGAGAGGAAATGTCAGTGTTGCATCACCAGTAACAGAACAGTAAGAAGTTATTCTACTTAAATACAATCAAATCTCTAACTTCAGAAGAAAGAATGAAGTTTAAGTAACTGCTTCTTAGTAACAGCCACAATCATAGATCAATATAAAAACAGATCAGTGACGTTAGAAACACATTTGTAAAGGTCAGAGTCGTGTTTTTAAAGCCAGGTCTATTTCAGTGCCATACAAATAAAGTGTCACCTTCTTTCCTTCTGCCAAAATTAAAACATGTTCAAATATTCTCCTCATATATAAATACAAACATCTATCTATACATGTGTAATGTCAGTGCAATATGGGCATAAGGGGACACTCAGCAGTTCTCATCGTACAGTCTGACAGCAGCAGGGTGGAACAGTCTGTCGCTGCAGCTGCTCTCCACAGCAGACAGAGTGACTGTTTCATTCAGTTCAGTTTATTTGTGAATCGCCCTAAATCACATCAGTAGTTTTCTCAGAGGGCTTTCATAAAACTGTTGATTCGCCGACAGCAGATCAGAGAATCAAACATAAACAGACACATGTGTATACTTCGTCCGTTAATATACAGTCTATGGTATAATCACGTGAACATGCGACGAATACAGTCTATAACACAAGAAAGAACCTCTGAGTGTATAGACTATAATGTATTCTGGCTTCAGTGATCACGGGAGTAACGGAGATTATATAGACTTCTGTGGAAATGGTTTTTCAGCACATTTCAGAAAAAGGATGTATAAATGTAGAGCCGCACTGCCCCCCTGTGGTCGCTAAGGGCAACGCACTTTTCTCTAGTCCTTCTGTAGTCTGAATGTAAATAAATGTGAATGTGCACTTTATTGTCCCCGTAGAGACATTTGTTCTCTGCATTTGACCCTGATGCCACTAAGGCGTAGGTGTCAGGAGCAGCGCCCGGGGACCCATCTGCTCGGTTCGGTCGGTTTTACCTGCGCATGTTTCTAGTGATAGGGTAAACCGGAGCACCCAGAGGAAACCTATGCAGACACGGGGAGAACATGCAAACTCTGTGTGTGTGTGTGTGTTTTTGTGCATGTGATGTAAATAAAAACACTAAATTCAAAAAAATATACATGTTATTTTTGTAAATAGCCGGAGCCATCGCAGATCATTAAGTACGGACTTGGACTTTGGAACATGATAATCTTGTGTTTTGTGAAAAGTAAAAAAGTAGAGTTAATTAAAAACAATCTATAACTAACTCTAACAAATTCTCATTAACTCTAAGTCATTCTACCATCTTTAAAATCTATACCATACCATATACTACAGAATATATACCATCTACAGAATCTATACCATCCTTAAAATCTATACCATCTTGGACTCATGTATCTATAATTGCATTTTCTCTTGTTATGTTCCTATTCTTTTAAAATATGGACCAACTATTATTATTATTTATTTTTTATTAGATAGATAGATAGATAGATAGATAGATAAATAGATAGATAGGTGGCTGGATGGTGAAATAGTAATAATAAAATCAAACTAAAAACACACTATACTTTTGTTTACATTCAGTCTTATTTTAGCTCCCGTTCCACAGCCGCTCATTAAACCGTAAATGTTCCAATTCTGTTTGTTTCCAATAGTCATAAAACAGTTCCGAGCGCAGTGATCTGTCAGAGGGAGGGACACCGCGGATCACCGAATCACCGCCTCCTGCAGGAATGACGTCTCTCCTGCACATTCCAGATATATTTAGATCCTATATAAAGAGGAGTCGCCCCCTAGGCTTTGTTGACTCTGCAGCGGGGAACAGCAGGCAGAGCACAGGACCTGGACCAACGCTGTAGACTACTACTACTACTACTACTACTACTACTACTACTACTACTACTACTACTACTACTACTACCACCACTATTACTAATATTATTACTACTCCTACCACTACTACTAGTACTATGTATTTGAGGTGAAATTACAGGCGTGAATCATTTTTCCAAAGTCCACATCAAAACACACGCACATCACAGAACTGCAGTTACACTGGGTAACCTACATGCACACGCTATCCTTATAGCAGTAAATAATGTTATATAATTTGATGCACATTATCGGTGCGTAGAGCGGTGTCGAGACCAGAAGAAAGTGCTCATTGCGACATGTCTTTACAAACCGGTTAAAATCCCCTGTGCTTTGTGGGCAGTGCTGGTTACGCCCATATTCGAGTCAAAAAAGGCCAAACTCCAGCTGCAGCTAGGCCCGTGCGGACGCTGGGCAAATGGAAACTTCTATTGATTAAAAACACCAGCTTTTGTGCGTGTTCTCCCCCCGCTCCCGGACCCCGTTAGACCTGCGTGGATCGTGGGACATGCAGAGATCTAGTCGCACAGCTCCGCGTTCCGCCGCCTGACTCTACGGCCGCTACCGACACACGGAACTGCCCTCGCGGAAGGTACAAGAATGAGCAATGGTTGTTTTTTTTTCCCTGCAGTGTGTGTGTGGTGATTGCAGGAGTAGGGATGGATTTGCAAGCAGAGGAGACACAAACGCACCTGAAGCTCAAACTTTTTGTATTTGTTATTTTAAACTACGCCCAGATGCTTGTCCAATGCTCGGCCCCGCTGCAGGCTGTAGCTACTGCAATGGCCTAGCTAAAACATCTGCAACTCCTGCTGTTTTGAATGAAATGTTACTCTTTTGTCATCCCCAAAACGTGTCACTGTGACTTAGTGCTAGTTGATGACACCATACACAAAGGGTATTTCGTTACTTTGACTAATTCCCATGCTACGCTCCAATGTGCTACATGCTAAGCTAGTTAGCTTCGCGTCCCTTTGGATTTAAACCCCAGAATTTGCAGCACAGGCGCAACATGGATCCAAATTCCTCTGGTCTTAAAACGACTTTTTTTTTTTTTTTTTTTTTTTTTTTTTTTTTAAGAGTTAATTCCTGCTTATACTGAGGGGGGTTTCTCTTGTGCTCTTATCGATCCAATGAAAAGCTTCTCTGGAACATGACCGTGATTAGGGCTACGCTTCGTTAAGCCAGATGCCGTGACTGTTGCAGCGCGTGCACGTGTGGTCATTTTGTGTGTTTTTAAATTGTGCAAAAATATAATTATTTATTGTATTCTAGAAAAGTTATGACTGACGGTAATGAGGGGCCACCAAATCCTCAGTTAGAAGTAATACCCACTTAAAAGAATCCAGTTTTGTTGTTAAGGCAAGTTTATTAATATAGCACAGTTTATACATAAGGAAACTCAAAGTGCTTAAGTGAAAATTCCCACTGAGAATCTCTTAACAAAACAAACATTAAAATCACACAAGGTCAGACGTTAAAATCATAAATAATCACAAATCATTTATAACAGAACTGGATTTTAACATTGCCAGAGAATAAGCCTGTGTCACATTTGAATAAAAAGTAATGGAAATTATTGTGGCCTTAAACAATATTCTTATTCTTTTATCACTTTGTATCAGTAGTTAACTAAAGCAGAGCTGCAGATGTGGGTCAGAATTAATTTTACTCTCAAAATATATAGTTTTCTTACCCTGTGTTAGTGGTGAGCGCTTCATATGGACTATGGTAAAAGGTTAATCACAAGGACTTTTAGATTATTTAACTAAACCTCTCACACTCGGCACCAGTATTTCACAGATAGACTTAGTATTTCACACACTGTGCTTTTGGGCCCAGTTAAAGGCATTGTCAAAGCAGATAAAACTTTTCTAATTTAATCAATTTCATGCCAAAATAAGTATCTGTTTCTGCCCCAGGATCAGGATCATCGTGGACGGTTTTAAACTATTTAAAACTACTGCAGTCTGAGGATGAGGAGTTGGATTTAAGGTCAACGTGAGGCTAGATTTTCCTCTTCCCAGAATCATAACCTCAGTGTTAGACTCTGTGCTGGTTTACTTTGCGTTACCAGGACAACTCGTGGCCCCCGGTACCTTTATCGGTCCAATCCAGGTGTCAATGTGGCCAGCTTCCTTCTAACCCCCCCCCCCCGATCAGCTGTTGTCTATTTTGCCTCAGTATAAATGAAAGAAACGCTGCTTCATATGTGCTGCCCTGGCATGTTATACCTCATTTTAGTAGTGGGTAATGGTTATTTATATAGTGCATTTTACAAAGCTTTTACCCGTTTTGGTTTAATTCAGGCCAAACTTGACTCCATTTGTGCAGGAAAGAACAACCAAAAATGATTATTCACATTCAGTGATTTGTAGCTAAAAAGATCAGATCCTTTATTCTCACAGTCGGGAAATGTCAGTGTTGCATCGTTACAGAACAGTAGAATGAGAAGCACACGGCACAAGAGAACAATAACTTTATAATGAAATAACAAAATCTAGCTTTATTAAAACAAAGAAGGTTTTTGATGAGAATCTGAGCAGTTTTATGGGAGATCTAAAACTTTCCACAAATAAAACACTGGATAAAAAACTTCTCAGTGTCTTTTGTAATTATTATTATTTTACATCTGAAGTGGTTGTCACTGTGTTGGAATATTGCAAATATCTTTAAAATGTGATAGATTTAAGCGTGTGAACTGGCCCTGCCCTCCACGGCCTGGCGCTGTCCCAGTGTAGCCTCAGAGAAAGTGCCCATCCCTGTGTTGGGACAGAGCCATATCTCCACATATTTGCAGACGGTGATATTAGACTGTAGCCACCGTGAGCCGCTGCTTTAACTGTCAGAGTTCTGGATCTCGACATGTGTCTGAACAGAGTGATCATTCCTTTAGGCTCAGACCTGTCCATGTGTAAAACCCTGGGGAGACCTCTGCTCTCAGTGGTTCAGCTTTGATCTGGGGTCGGTGTGTAGTCAGTCTGCAGCCATGGACTGTGATTCTGAGTCTGAGTCTGATGCTCTGCTCTGTTTCAGGTTAATCATGACGGAGTATAAGCTGGTTGTGGTGGGAGCTGGTGGTGTTGGGAAGAGCGCTCTTACTATCCAACTCATCCAGAATCACTTTGTGGATGAATACGACCCGACCATCGAGGTAAAGCAGGACCCAGCTGCTTCTGTGCATCACATTCTGCTGTGTGTCTGTGCTGATCTCCTGTGATCCTCAGGACTCTTACAGAAAGCAGGTGGTGATCGATGGAGAGACATGTCTCCTGGACATCCTGGACACTGCAGGTCAGGAGGAGTACAGCGCCATGAGAGACCAGTACATGAGGACAGGGGAAGGCTTCCTCTGTGTCTTTGCCATCAACAACATCAAGTCCTTTGAGGACATTCACCACTACAGGTGAGCTCCTAGGGCTGAGTAGGGCTGAGTAGGGCTGAGTAGGGCTGAGTAGGGCTGAGTAGGGCTGAGTAGGGCTGAGTAGGGCTGAGTAGGGCTGAGTAGGGCTGAGTAGGGCTGAGTAGGGCTGAGTAGGGCTGAGTAGGGCTGAGTAGGGCTGAGTAGGGCTGAGTAGGGCTGAGTTACTACTGGTGAGCTCGGACCAGGGTTTAGCCTGACCAGACCCCTACGGTCTCTTACGGCCCCCTACGGTCTCTTACGGCCCCCTACGGTCTCTTACGGCCCCCTACGGTCTCTTATGGCCCCCTACGGTCTAAAGCAGCACAAACTGCACTATTCTGTCTCAAGAACAGAAATACATGTATTAACGGCAAACTGGTCGAACCAGTTAAATGCTGAGCTTCTTCCTTGGTTTAATGTGTCCTGTGTTTTACAGAGAGCAGATCAAGCGGGTGAAGGACTCTGAAGACGTCCCGATGGTGTTAGTAGGAAACAAGTGTGACCTCCCGTCCCGGTCCGTGGACACCAAGCAGGCTCAGGACTTAGCACGCAGCTACGGCATTCCCTTTATCGAGACCTCAGCCAAAACCAGACAGGTGAGAGTCCAGATGCCACGCCCTCATCTGCTCCCGCTTCAGATTATGGCTGTAATCCTGCGCTGGTGTGTGGCCGGTGAGGGACGAGGGGGTTTGTGTGTCGCCCTCAGCTGCAGCAGGGGCCAATCAGAGGGGTCCGTGTCGTTACATCTGGTGTGGTCAAATCTGGTGGCTCGTTTTCCAATCACTGTCTGAGAAGCTGTGGGTTTTGTTCCTGGTCAGTGATAGTCTCTGTGGGTGCTTCTCTAATCCGTGCATGTTCCGTGGGTTAATCGTTGTCTGGGGAAATGCAGCCAATGAGACGAGTGTGGTGTAAATTGCTTCCTGGTTCAGCGTGATCGGCTCCTGGTGATGGAATCCACGCTTCACTGATTTCTCGCTCTGCTCAGACTTCATTCAAGCATCATCTCTGTCCAAATCCTCACACATTCACTAAACTGTAGTTACTCTGATCTTTCTGAACAAATAAGTAGCACTGGAGATGCATTTAGAGTTTTGTCTAAAAGATAAACAGTAAAAAACACTCGTCAAAGCCAGTCCCAGCTCTTTAAATGACTCCATATAGATTCGTACATTTGTCTAACTATTTCTTGAGCTATTAGAAAGAAAAGTTGGCAGTGGCAGAGTCCTCATGGTCCACAGATGGTTCCATGTTAAAATCTTCTGCCAATATTCAGAAAAGTTTAATTTCTCTTTCACACATATTGCTGGGTCAGAGGTTCAGCACTATTGGCGTCCATCGCAAACACATTTCTCAAAGTCTTGATTTCTTTCATTATTTTTGTCTAAACGTGTAGTATTTTGTGGCTGAGGGTAAATGTTGAGGATGTGTTTGCTGCTGCAGAGGGTGGAGGATGCCTTTTACACTCTGGTGCGGGAGATCAGGCAGTACCGCCTCAATAGGCTCTGCAAGGAAGAAAAGACCCCGCGCTGTGTCAAGCTTAAAAAGTGCATTTTGCAGTGAAGAGGGGTAAGTGTGCTGCGGCTGTGAGCGCGCCGTGACGGTTCTCTGGGTTCTGCGGGCTCTTGTGGGCTCTTGTGGGCTCCTGCGGGCTCCTGCGGGCTCTTGTGGGCTCTTGTGGGCTCCTGCGGGCTCCTGCGGGCTCTTGTGGGCTCTTGTGGGCTCCTGCGGGCTCCTGCGGGCTCTTGTGGGCTCTTGTGGGCTCCTGTGGGCTCCTGCGGGCTCTTGTGGGCTCTTGTGGGCTCCTGTGGGCTCCTGCGGGCTCCTGCGGGCTCCTGCGGGCTCCTGCGGGTTCCTGCGGGGTTCTTCTGGTGTAATTGAAGCGTTGGGATGGTCCTTGATGAAGGTGTTGTGTCTCGCTGGTTCTGTTTACTCCAATCAGGGACTGAGCTGCTTTCACTCTTGCCCAAAGCCACAGAAACACTAATTGTACTGATTACTAATATTACGGTGATTTCATTAACTTCTTATGGATAAGTTCTGGTTCTTTCAGACTCTGTGCTGTAGTCCTGAGGCAGATCCACACATGGACAGTTTTACATCTGTGGTTTAAACCTCCGTTCTGACCATCTGACATTTAACTCCAACAAAGCATTACCCTGAAAATAAATACGAACATGTTTTGGTTTTTAAGGCTCTGAAACATGATGGCGTTTCCCTTTGGCTGAACTTATGAAAAGACAATCCCTGACATGAAGCATTAAAATAACATTAAATTAGTATGTTTTTGTTTGTTGGTGTGGACGGTGCGTTCTAATGTAGCTGTAAATGCAGAGTGACAATTATAGTTTAAATCTGTCCTTTTGGCAAAAGACACACAAACAGCACAAGAACACACAACAGGGAACACAGAGTCCACGTACAGAACTCCAGACACATTGCTCACATTTCTTACAGATGGTTTCTGTGGGCGTGTCCTACCTGCAGGACTCCAGCACAGACGGAGCTCACACACTAGCTCTCCTTTGCTATTGGAGAGCTACTTTTGTAAAAACAGGCCGAGAGCCGCTTCTTGAGCAGTCGAAAAACAATTGCAGTCTAAGTAAAAACTGCAGCTGATCCTGGAGACACATGTAATATACCATTGTTCTGTTGACCGTCTCTGCATTAGTTTAACAGATTTATAGTTAAAATGTAACGAGTCAAAGGTGAATCTTTCAGGGTCATGTTAAAGAATCCTTTGAGCTCCTGGTCGCTCCTGAACCACAGATTGGAGACCCCTGCGCTAAAGTGTAGGTCAACTATCATTGTGAAGATGGAGAGGTTTAGACCCGCCCCCACCGCTTCCTGATTGGACACAATGAAGTGAAGTCTGTGATGGACAGCGGAGGCCTCTCCTCATTGGTCTGGTCTGGTCTGGTCTGGTCTGGTCTCCTCCAGCAGATCTCACTGCTGAGGTTTGTTCCATGAGGAGAGGTGTTATGAATGTAGTTTAGATGATGCTAAAGGCTCATGTGGTCATAAACGAGGAATGTGCTTTGGGTCTCAGTTTAAACAGTTTAGAAAAGTTAAAATGGTCATAAGGCCTGCATGAGGAATCTTAACATTTCTAAAAAGAAGTGCACACAATTAGCATTTAGAAAAGTTACACACACGAGCTTTAAAGTAGTTTGTTTTACTCGTGTGCAGTAAAGTCTGAAGAGTCCTGACGTCTCTGAACAAAAGTGAAAGCAGCTCTGGGTGAATGAGGGCGGGGCTTGTGCTCTGAGGGTTTTGATTGGCGGGTCCTCACCCAATCACACTTCTCCGGGGTCTACGTTTCTTTGGTCGAGCTTTGCACTTTTTTTGGCACTTTTTTCTTTTCTGCTTTTTTCCCCAGACGCTTCTGTAACGACCTGTTTGTGTTGTTCGCATAAATCTGCTGTAGATTATTATAAATGTAAAGGTTCCGACGTATTTGTGGATTTCTCTCAAGAAGTAAAGCAGCAGAAGTCAATGGTAGTTTTCTTATTCATGTCTAATTGAGAAAGTGCGGCAGTTTTCCATGCAGAATATTGGATGTTTTTTAATTTATTTTTTTCAGAGTAATGGCGTTCCTGTTGAATCATTTATTTGTATAGCACAAGTTTAAAAACACAGATCCAAATGCATTAAAAAGTCTATAAATACACAATTATTCCATATTAAAACGGCAGCGTAAAAGTGTGGGTTTAAAACTCATTAAAGTGGATTTAAAAAGGGAGATGAAGACGACAAATGGCACAAAATAGAATCTGTATCAGAGTAAAGTCCTGTCTCACAGCTTCAGGAAGACAGTTCTCTCCACAGCTGAACATGTAGAGACAGAGACAAACTTCATTCTAAACTTTAATTATTCTAAAATCTGATTCTGTGGCAAAAGAAATTAAGAAAAGTCTTCAGTCAGTTTTGGAAAAGTGACAAAACGACTCGAGCTTCCTCAGTTTCCAGAACTTTCTCAAACGTCACTTTTTAACCAATTAAAACATTACCTTGATCACATGTCGTCATAAACCTGAGCCTGGATGTTTTGCTTCATCCTGTTGGATCGTGTTGAAGGTGAAGAATATTATCTTAGTTTGAACTTTAGTTAAAGTTGGACTCACTGTGAACGTTGGATCCTGTTTTCAGTCTGACTCTGACATTTATGGGACTGAACAGAAGTTATGGGAGAGAAGGGGAATAAAGCGTTTCAAAATGAAGGCTCCTCAGGGGAACTTGGAGATTAAAGTATTTTAGAAGAATCTTTTCATAAAATAAACAGATGCCTTCAAACACTTCCTCAATCACAGCTCACTGCTACTGAGGCCACGCCCCCCGAGGCCACGCCCCCTCAATGAAAGAATCATTAAAACTTGTTCTACACAAATAAATCTGGACATGGATGTTTCCTTATGACTTGTGTTCATGTTTCTGGGTCAGATGCCGTTGCAGTTTGTTCCTCGGCTTAAATTCCCTCGGAAATTATTCTGAATCTTTTTGGAAATGTATGAGACATTTTGCACCGAGTCGGAGTCAACGCTAAGGACTCGTTTAGCTTCTGACACTTTCATGTTTCCAGCTCAGAATCTCTGGAGGGAAAACCGCCTCCGGAGCCGAGCGCAGATAAAAAGCAAAAATACAAAATTCCCAGAATAACCTTTTCTTTGAGGCATTCTTCAGAAAAACCAAAAACATGATTTAAATGCAAATGCGTCGGGCGCTCGCTGTGGGAATAATAACTTTATGTAATTCTCTTCCTTTCAGGGAGTGGACGATGCCTTCTACACTTTAGTGCGAGAAATCCGGAAGCACAAGGAGAAGATGAGCAAGGAGGGCAAAAAGAAGAAAAAGAAGTCCAAGAGAAAGTGTGCGCTTATGTGAACGGCCCCTGGGAAACAGAACCTCTACACTGAACAGTTCCAGTCCACGTTTTTGTACATTACACTAAATTATTGGCCTCTTTCAAAGCACCCTTTTGACAACATCGCTAGTAGCTAGTTGCTAGTTGCTAGTGGTCAGTTGCTAGTGGCTAGTGGCTAGTCAGACACCATAAGCTTATGTTAGTGCCAGTGGCCTTCACCCCATGATTTTACTTTGGAACATTTTATACAATTTTAACGCTGTAGCTACAGTTTGTCGGATGGAAGTCCCCTCAGGCGCTGGGAGAGGCGTGGCCTTTGAGTGTCTGGGTGCCAAAGAGCTAATTTCTAATCCTGTGTATGTATTACAAAGCAGGAGAAGCTAGACTTAAGTCCACTGTGTAACCCCCCACATGAATGACCCCCAGGCTCCGATCTGTCTTTTCTAGTATGCATGCAGACTGTACCTGTCCAGGCTAATCTGTACCATCCAGGCTAATCTTTGTGGTGTTTGAGTGGTGTGTAGTCCCCGTCGACACGTTCGGGACAGAATCTTGTGTCCTGCGGCGCCGCATAAGAAAATGGGCATAGATTTTTTTTATATATAATTGACAACATTGAGGCTCGTGCCCATTGTCAGAAATGTCTAAACTAAGAATAACGTGATCTATTGTTGCTAACTCGCCCTAAAGAGGCAGGTTTCTGTGATAACACGGAATAGTTAACTGTAAAACTGCATTTGAAAAATATTTTGTACTAATCTTGAATCTGCCACAGTCGGTTCAAAAGTTGCTCTTTCAGGCAAATAAAAAATGAGTTTATGATTGCCTTCTTTTGTTTAAAAATTGTGTTTCCGGTTGTAACTTTGATCCCAGTCTTGCCACAGACGCACTGCAAAAAGTGGTGGAAAATAAGTAAAGAATTACTCAAATTAGGCAAAATGTGTTTTAATCTGAGGACATTCTGACTGCTTTAAAACAAGATTCACGGATGAAGCAGAATTATAATGTTTTAACAGATACAGAAATGTCTGTTTTGGAATGAGACTAAAAATCTGAAGAATCTTGTTTTAACACGGTCACAATGAACTCTTGAGGTAAAAATTGCTGTTTTTTTTTTATCTTATTTGATCAGTTTTTGCAGTGTCTTTGCTTCTTTTCCTTGAGGGACTTTAGAATTTGCCTTTTTTTCTTTTTAGACAAGAGTGAAACTGTCCCAGAAAACCTATGTTTAATTCAAGGCGTTTGAACGTGTAAAAAAAACATAAAAATAATTCTGGACCCCTTGCCCTGTTCCCGGTCCAGTCCAGTCCAGTCCAGTCCAGTCCCGGTCCTGGTTTTCTGGCGTGCCAACTGTTTGGGATGAGTCTGAATCATTTATACCTGGATCGTGTTTGACCAACCTTTTGTATCGTTGTGATGCCGATTCGCCGGTGCATATTTTGTAAATTGTGCTTCATGTTTGGTGTGTGTCTAAATGAATGTTGCTTTTTGAAACTAAAGGACGTTTGCCTCCTCCGTGTGTGTGGCTCCAGGACAATACGTGAACGAGTGACCGCTCCTCGCCGACGGCGGTGGCGGCGGCGATTCCATCTCAAATGAGTCTATTTTTTTGCCATGAATCTCACCACTCCTATTTAATGTCTAATAAAGAACAAACTAAAGAGTGTCTGTGTTTGTGATCTCTATGACGTGAAGAGGCCACGCCCACTCTGACCTCACAGTAACAAGGACCGGGGTTTGATGCTACATCCAGGGCTTTCTGTGTGGAGTTTGCATGTTCTCCCTGTGTCTGTGTAGGTGCAATGTAGTGGTTTTCTCTCAAGACTTTACAAATCTGTCGATTCACCAACACAGATCAGAGAATCAAACTCAAAAACCCAGAGGGAGAAAGAAAGAAATTTGGGGGAGGCCCATATTGAGCGAGGGGATCTACTCAGGACCGAGGCTGTAGATCCAGGACCGAGGCAGCTCCCAGACAGAGATGCTTGTTCTCCCCCCTGTCTGCATAAGTTTCCTCCAG